GTGCTGTGCCGTAAAATCGTTTTTCCCATAAGCCCTATGGTTTGTATTTGTGGGACTTTTCATAGTGCAGTGATTTTTAGAAACTAAAATGGAATTCAGTTTCCTGAAAGGTTGTATAGGCTAGTCTTTTTCCTTTCTGTATGTAATGTTTGCTTAACAAAATGTTAATTTTCTTGTTCAACATAATTTGATTCTACAAAACAGGAGTAAATTCTAGTTATTCAAAAATTTTGGGAATGAGTCCCCACATATGGATTACCCAATCCCCAATTAATTAGGAGATAAAATAAATGTATTAGGTAGGCTATAAATCAGTTCACTGATTTTTTTTTTGAGATGGTATCTGGCTCTGTCACCCATGCTGGAGGGCAGTGGTGTGATTTTGGCTCACTACAACCTTGGTCTCCGAGGTTCAAGTGACTTTCCTGCCTCCCACGTACGTGGGATTACAGGCGCATGCCACCATGCCCAGCTAACTTTTGGATTTTTAGTAGAGATGTTTCACCATGTTGGCCAGGCTGATCTCGAACTCCTGGCCTCAAGTAATCTGCCTGCCTCAGCCTCTCAAAGTGCTGGGATTACAGGCATGAGCCACCACGCCTGGCCTCAGTTCACTGATTAAGAAAAATACCTCAGGCTACCACAGTATCTTCTAGATGTTTAATGTGAAAACAGTGTGATTATATTTTATCTATAGAATGGGGGAGATGAGACTACACTGACTTGCCTATGACATCCTGGTAGTTGTTTACTGGACAACTTTGTTAGGAATTTGTCTATTTGACATTCACCTCTTATAAAGGCCATTCCAAGAAGCAGCTCCTTCCCTGCTACCCTTCTAGGAACTAGAATTGAAGAGTGAATGACTTTGTAAATCACTCTTGAAAAGTGTATTTCAAGACTGGAAGTCTCTAACAGTGAATGTGTTTATGCAAAAAGGCTGAAAGAACTAGGTATGTACACATTTGCTCTGGCCTTTTTGTTACTTGAAGCATTGTGCAAATACTACCTTTCTGAAAACTTCCCCCTCAGGCAAAATTTAATACACCTTTTCCAAATACTTTGTATAGGGCCAATCCTCAGCATCTTTTTATACGATCATATCACCAATGCCTAACACTTTTGAATAAGTTGTAAATACAAGGTAATTGTGGTTTGGTTTTTTTTTTTTTTTTTGAGACAGTCTTGCTTTGTCTGCCAGGCTGGAGGGCAGTGGTACAATCTTGGCTCACTGCAACATCTGCCTCCTGGTTCAAGTGAGCCTCCTGCCTCAGCCTCCCCGTAGCTGGGATTATAGGCCACACTACCATGCCTGGCTCATTTTTGTATTTTTAGTAGAGATAGGGTTTCACCATGTTGGTAAGACTGGTTTCAAATTCCTGACCTCAGGTTATCTACTGCACCCAGCCCAAGATTGTTCTATCTTACATTTATGTAGGGCATGGCATGTGCAGCTGGGAATCGCGATCCCTAAGTCCGCTTTATCGTGAATGCCTTCCACTTACTAAAGCAAACCTGTATCACCTACCTTAAACTGTTGTTTCCATATTCCGCAGTAGCCCCACCTGTCAGTGAACATCCTTAATATGCTGCCAGAGGACCACACTGGCTCCTTGGGGAAGCAGTCAGTCCGCATCTGATCTTATACTTCCTTCCTATTTTTTTTTTTTGAGATAGTGTCTTGCTCTGTCACCTAGCCTGGAGTGCAGTGGCACAATCTCGGCTCACTGCAACCTCTGCCTCCGAGGTTCAAGCAGTTCTCATTCCTCAGTCCACAGAGTAGCTAGGACTACAGGCCTGTGCCACCAGGCCCAGCTAATTTCTATGTTTTTAGTAGAGAAGGGGTTTCATCATGTTGGCCAGGCTTGTCTCAAACTTCTGGTCTCAAGTAATCTGCCCACCTTGGTCTCCCCAAAGTGCTGGGATTACAAGCATGAGCTACAATGCCCAGCCTCTCATTTGTGTTTGTTTACTCATCCAGCTCTCCACATCTTTCATCATCTGTAAAATATGGGTCAAGGACTATGAGGTAGTGCTGGCCTCTGTCCTCATAATGCCCTTCCTCTCAAAGTGGAGTCCAGTTGACCCACTCATACAACACATGTCCTTGGTATACCCCCAACTGGCCCCAGGGCTGAGGTCTTTTTCACAGACAAGGCACAGAAAGGACAGTCCTGTTTCAGCTGCAGCCAGTTGTGAACACCTCCCCAGCCAAGAAAGAGAACTAACTTACAAGGCATGCAGCCAGTGACCTGGAGCCTGCCAATATTTTATTTTTATTTAAAAGTCAATTTTCAATAAAAGAGCCAGACTGATAACTGTGGGAGCCAAAGTAGTTTGTATACTACTCACATTTGCTATATTTTTATATGGTTTCAAAGTATTATAAATTGCCTAACCAGGCCATGTCACAACTTTTGCAGTTGGTAAGATCTGAGTCTGCATCCTGGTGACAGGCCGGGCAGCATATATAACCTTGTGTCTTGGCCAACTTGCTATTCTAATTCATACTCAATACTGTATTGAATACAGAGTAACTAGCTGGACACGGTGGCTCATGGTTGTAATCCCAGCACTTCGGGTGGCAAAGGTGGGCAGATCACCTGAGGTCAAGAGCTTGAGACCAGCCTGGCCAACATGGTGAAACCCTGTCCCTACTAAAAATATATAAATCAGCTGGGCATGATGGCATGGGCCTGTAATTGCAGCTACTTGGGAGGCTGAGGCAGGAGAATCACTTGAACCTGGGAGATGGAGGTTACAGTGAGCTGAGATTGTGCCAATGCACTCCAGCCTGGGTTACAAGAGTAAACTACATCTCAAAAAACACACACAACAACAACAAAACGAATACAGAATAACTAAATCACTTTTTCCTCTCCCAAGGCTGACTGTTGGTCTCATTTGTGAAAGCATCTTTGATAGGCTGGCATCTAGAAATGGAACATGTTGAATCCATCTGTCGATCTGCAGTATCGATGCACAGAGCAAAGTAAAGGTATGACAGCACTTTCCTGAAGCTTATTAATTTTACCCAGATGTTATTAAACCCATATCCCATCTACCAAAAAGGGAAGTGACAGGAAACCAGACAGATTTGTCTGAGTATTACCAGATGCATGGTAGAAGATAAATGGATTTGAATCCATGTAATTGATTATTCATGAAAAGAAATCCATATTCCAGTAAAAACTATCAGTTAGGGCCAGGTGTGGTGGCTTACACTTGTAATCTCAGCACTTTGGGAGGCTGAGGTAGGAGGATCGCTTGAGCTCGGGAGATAGAGACCAGCCTTGGCAACACAGACCTCATCTCTACTAAAAAATAAGTAAACATTTTAAAAATCATTCTGTAATCCCAGCACTTTGGGAGGCCAAGTCAGGCAGATCACAAGGTCAGGAGTTTGAGACCAGCCTGGCCAACATAGTGATATCCCGTCTCTACTAAAGATACAAAAAAAATTAGCCAGGTAAGGTGGCATGTGCCTGTAGTCCCAGCTACTCGGGAGGCTGAGGCAGGAGAATCACTTGACCCTGGGAGGTGGAGGCTGCAGTAAGCTGAGATCGTGCCATTGCACTCCAACCTGGGTGATAGAGTAAGACTCCATCTAAAAATAAAAAAAAAAAATGCTGAGCATAGTGATGCATGCCTGTAGTCCCAGCTACTTGGGAGGCTGAGGGAGGAGGATCACTTGAGCCCAGGAGTTCAAAGCTACGGTGAGTTACGATTGCACCACTGCACTCCAGCCTGGCAACAGAGTGAGACTGTCTCAAAAAACATTACAGACTAGAATGGGAAAGAACTAAAGTATTTACCACAACTTTCCCTTTTAAAAGGTTCTTTGATGTTTCTCAAGTTACCGTACACATTTAAGATATCACCACCTTACCACTGTCTGGAGAAAGCTGACATTCAGACATACTCGTAAGTGAGGAGTTATCAGAGCCAACCAAAATGACAGAGAGAAAAAGGTCAGAGGAACTGCTCCAGTAATTAGGGAGCAATCAGTAATCAACTCCCCAGCCTTCCAAAAAGCCTACAAATGTCTTTAAGGATATAAGCATTATGGTTGTCTCTCTTCACCCCAGACTTACAAAGAATTAGATTAGTAGTGTGGAAATCAGACAGTGGATAGAATACTCTCATTAGGTGGGTTTGTACTGAAAGAAGCACACTGCCTGGCTTTATCTTCGTTAGCTTCAGCTATTCAGAATAAGCTGTAAATACGGTTTTAAAAGGTGGCTCATGCAAGAGCAAGAGAAGCAAAAGCTTTTGAAGGAAAAGCACCACCACAGACTTTGGGATCCTGGCAGGCTTTAGGGGACCAGCAGGTGGTACTCTACTAACACCTTGGCTTTTACTTAATTTTGTAACAAATTAAATTGGATGGAACATATGAAAGCATTAAGCCAAAGAAACCACTTCATCAGCTGAGGCACATTTGGTAAAATGGTATTAAAAAAAATCAAAACCTCACAAAAGAAGGCTCACAAAATCATTTCAAATATTCCTCAGGCCAATTTTTCTTTCCAGCCAAGTAGTCATTATCCATTCTATGATAAGTGTAGGTAATTAATGTGAAATGTAATTGTTCACATTCCTGGCTGAACCTTTCCTGAAATGGAAGGTGGAGTAACAGATTACATGGAGCTAAACGATGGTGACACATAAGGAAAAAAACCAAGCAACTTGCAAGGTGTTACAACTTGGGCTCCCACTTTTTTCTTTTAAGCTAAATTCTTTCAGATGAGAAGGAAAGGCTATCCTTTCAATATCCTGCAGGTGTCAGTGGAGGCCTACATCTTTCCAGTAACTTAAAGGGTTAGGAATATCTAAGCCTGAAGCAACCAAATGCCAACAGCAGCCAGCTATTAAAACCAAGACTTCAAACTAAAACAACTTGCTAGGGTCATACTTTTACCCAGGATGACTAACTTCAGGCCCTTCTCTGCCCCCAGTGGTATGCTTGTCAAAAGAGGGAGAACTCTGGAAAAAGTCAATTTTTGATAAAGTCCTTTTAATGGAAAATGTAAAACCCCTTTCAACTTTAATGTACAAAGCCATATGTAACACTTGCACTTTAACAAAAGCAAGCCAATGTTTTAAAAAAATACATCATTAAATGTATATATGTATATATTTACATAGCATATTAAGTTTAATATTTAGCTTTAAAAGTTCACATAAATTTTACCAAAATGAGACAATTTTAAATAAATTACACCTTTTGAAAATGTTTAATTGTACAGTCAATAGCTTCAACAAAATATTGAAGTGTCTGTATTTAGTATCTACTTTATATACTTTATACTTTACAAATTTTACAATTATTTGGCAGTAATTTTCTGATTATGACATGACTGCTGTGCGATTCAGCAATTTCCCAGATGCAGGCAATAGCTGGTGTTTGTGTCCTATTCTCACAGTAACTGTCTCAATGTAGTGAAAAATATCAGTAATTTTAGTAAACTGTACAAGGTCACATTTACACTTGATCAACAATATAGCATAGAATTTTTTTATTTTTTACCAAAAATAAATACATCATTTTAAATCTGGCATTTTCACAAACATCATATACATTATAATACAAAACAGCTATACAGTGCTGCTTTTAAAATTCTGCTTGTTTTATAATATTGAATCACAGGAGCTGTGACATATGCTATACTGCTGCAGTGTCAGTAACAAGTAATTACTACAAAGAGAATTTCTTGGCACTGATGGTTTTATGAAGCTTAAGTCAGTGTGCATACATATCATCAATCAAGGTTAAGTAATCCCAGTTCAATGACCTAAAAATATCAAACTGGATCACACTTAATTTTCTTCCATATCCTCTACTTCATCCTCATGTATCTTCAAGGTTCTCACCATTTCTTTGACTGCATGATACAAAATATTTTTAACCTGAAAAAGATGTTGATATTTCTAATCACTTCAGTTGGACAGAAATTAACAAATGACAACTTTCAGATTTAAAAAAAAAACAATTTTAATGAGGACCTAGGATAGCCAAATATAAGAAAAATGTTCAAAAGTGTTAAGGCAAAAGTTAAAATAAGGGACAATATAATTCATACAGTTAAATACATGTTGGTGTTAATCTTTGGTTGTTACCCTAATGTGACCAACTAGGCAATGACTGCCTGTTATACATGTATCATATTTCTAAACCAAAGCCTGCAGAACAGGACCTAGTTAGAACACCTATCTCTTACCTGTAGTTTATCATCATAATTGATTTCTTCCTTTAAAAGTCTCAGTTCCTGTGTTAAATGAAATGACTCTACAAGATGTTCTGGAGATACAAAGTCTTCAGTTACCTGAATACAGCTGTGAAAATTCTGAACCTATCACCAAAAGAAAAACAGTGAAATATAAATTTTAAAAGGTGTGGAGCAAAGAAAAGCCAAGTTATTTAAAATCAATAAACATGAGACAGTTCTGCTGGAGAATTCTACTTTCTCCAAAACATCGAATGGATTTTAAAGCAGAAGACCACATTTTATGAGAAAGTTATGTCACTGAAAAGCTTCATGTAAAGTGACTTTGTAAATGGAATATTTTTAAATGATAAAAAGAAAATAACTTTTCCAGGAATCCTTTGGAGAGGCTGATAATCAGATATTAAATTATCAATTTTGTCAAGGTGGACTTTTAAAAAATGTGTTACTTTTAAAAACTAACTTGAAAGAATGTACAAGGCAATCTATCTGAGTGTGTTTATTGTTGCTCCATTGGCTTTCAGGATTTTGGTCATTTCACTGTTAACTCTTACATCAGAGAACAAAAAAAAGGAAATGAAACTTGGTTAGGAACTGGGATGGAAAATGTAGTTCCAGATAGGTCTACTGACCTCAACTGAGTTTCAGACATATCCCAGGATTTTGGTTATCTGTGCCTTTCTCTTGCGACTTTCTTTCAAATTAGCCAATTAAAGATAATCCTTCAATCACTGGTGACATCAGTACAACAGTTTTTCCACAGTTTTCTCTCTCCTGACTAAACAGTTTTCCCAAGAAGCCAGTCAGTAGTCTTATCTGTTACTTGTTCAGCATTTACAAACTGACTTTGGACTTGACTATTTCTCAGAGCTGCTTTCTATTAATGCTCAGTCAAACAACAGAGGAAGGCCCAAGCTGATCCAATCTGGGATTTTCAGTGTTTCTAGATTGTCTTCTAGTGATATTAAAAAATGTCACAAAAATTCCTGGGAAAGGAGAAATAATTGAAAAACTAAGCATTTAAAGTTACTCTAATTTTAAGTATGCAAAATAAATTTTTGGGAGGAGTGAGATGGAGATAGTAAGTGGGAAATGGAGACTGTGGGAAAAAAAATCTAATTGATGATAGGGTGATGGAATTCCAGAGGGGCTAGAATTCCTCCTCTGGGCATAATGACCACCTGAACAGCTGCTGAAGTCTGCAGAGTTCTTTAACTCAAGCACTGTGCCTCTATTGATAACTTGGTAGCATAGCAAAGTAAACATTCTCTTTCTTTAATCATTAGGCTGTTGGTTCCTCTGGAGGATGAACATAGTGGATGCCTCACATTTTCAGCATTTCTGTACAGTCTCACTGGCTCTTCATAATGTGTCTGTAGAACAGATGCTCTATTTCACAGAGCAGGAAACTATGGATGAGATGTTCAGCGCCTGTCCCAAGACAAATCAGCCAATAAATGGCAAGTCAACAGGAGCCCAACTCCTGTGATGTCTTGTCTAATAGATGCTTTACAGTCCTACTTATTAACTCTCATACAGCATACACAGTCTCCAAATGCCCTCTCTCCTTATGTCTTTCATTAATCTGAACTTAAGGAGAGTTAAGTCTTTCCAAAGTTTTAGCATGAAAAAACCTTTTGGTATATCTAGCTCTAACATGTCCTAAAATCACTTGTAGCTCCAAAATTTATACTTGGTTTAAAAAAAAATTTCTCTTTGTTCATCCAGCATTTTCCTGGTTTCCGTTAGCTTTGAGCATATTTAAGACAGCTGTCTAGTAAGTTCAATGTCTGGGCTTCCTGGGGAAGGTTTTTGACAATTTATTTTCTCCCTTTGAATAAGCCGTACTTTCCTCTTTTTGTGTATGCCTTGTACTTTTTTGTTGGAAACTGGGCATCTGAACATAACAGTGTGTTAATTCCGGTAATCGTATTCTTTCCCTGCCTCGGGGTGTGCTGCTGTTGATTCCTGAGAGCTGCATTCATCCATTTGTTTAGTGACTTTTCCAAACTGTTTTTGCAAAGGCAGTATTCCTTGTTGGGTGTGGTCACTGAAGTCTCTGTTCCAATATCTCATTAGTCAGCCAGTGACCTAACACAGATTTCCTTAGATGTCAAAAATCAGCTGCCCTTTTCTTCATTAAGCAGTCTCTTGGATGCTGTATAAGTTTTGGATTAGATTCCAGAGTTCTGAAAAAATTCATTCTGTCACGTCTTTGCCAGCTTATGGTTGTTTTAAAATGACTTTCACAACAGTGACCTTTATTAGTGCTTTCAAGATGCTGTTAGGTTTCCTAATGACCCCTACCTGATGTATTTTACATTAAGGCTTGAGGGTTAGTTTGAAGGGCCAAGGTTCAGTTTTAAAGCAGAATACAACTAAACTTCTTATTTTGATTATTCCTTTTCTTTGCCACATTTGAGTCATTTATATTTCACTTCCTTAACACTGTCTTATTCATACTTGCCTTAAAGAATCAGTTATAATCATAAGTAATGTTAAGAAAATATAATTTGTATTCATAGTAGGAAGGTTATTCTCTTGACACTGTGATTGCTATTTATTCAGTTCTTCATGAGAACTTAGTGTGGAAAGATTTTGTCAAGAAGTCCTTTTGGTCATATGAATACAAAGAATTACAACTTTAAAATTTTATAAACTCATGATAAATGACCAAATGCAATAAATTAAACTTAGTATTTTAGGGCAAATTTTGCTAAAGATTTTGTGTTAACTTAAAAAAAACTGTTGCTGTTTTTAAGTAAAGGCCACTCTAAACCTCAGAATACTACAGCTGAGACAAAATAAATCCTGGCGGTCAGGGTCATTGCTCTGTGGAGGGATGTACAGGAGTTTCACAGACTGAGTCCCAGTTACCAAGACAAGATTTCTAAGTCTCCAATTCTAGAATAGTTCTTAGCATATAAAGAGGGGTGTGGCTGTGCTGCTTTCTCTCAGCTTGCTAAGATTATACATTTGAGTTTCCTTGAACAGACAGCCCACTCTTCTCTCAATTTGGCTCTGGCAATGGTCATTGTTGACAGTCCAAAGAATAAAATGTTGTTTCTTCCCTAGCACTGCTGGCCTTTGTCATGTGGTATCGCTTGGTTGAAAATATTTTAATAGGTGCCTTGGGTTTGCAAGAGATTCCTATTTGTGTGGTTTCTAAAGTGTAGTCCCTGTACAGTAAAATCAACATTTCCTGGAAACTTGTTAGACATGTATAGTTTCAGGTCCCTCCCCAGAACCACTGAAATCAGAAACTCTGGTGGTAGAATATAGCAATCTGTTTTATCAAGCACTCCATGAAATTCTAGCATATGCTAAAGTGTTCTTTATATTCTCACTTTGTCAGAACACTTTAGCATACGTTATAATTTAGAGTCTGAATTCTTTTGAGGGCCACCTGTAGCCTACTGGAAGCGCTGAAGCCATGACCAGTTTTCAGACCTTCTAAGACCTGTATTACTACAGGTTGTAAGTAATAATGCATCTCAAACCCAAGTTAATATTGTAAACACTTATTACTTCCCTTGAATTTTCTCTTAAAACTGCATTACCACCAGTTGTGAACTGTGGACAACATCCTTTCAACAGAGTATAGAGAGCTGTGCTGTTATCATCATACCACACAGGGGAGGGAAAATAGAAATCCCCTTTTGTATAGCTGGCAATTTCTGTGCCAAAATATGTAGCAAAGAAGTTAGATCTTGTTTTGGATCACTCAGCAATTTAGTGGCAGATCTCAGAATAATCTGACAGTCTAGGTTGTATATGCTGCCTTAGTGTATTTAGATACAACATTTTTTTTTCATAGATGAAATCTTTCTATAATCTATGTAAATTTTCTAACTATCTCAAAGAAAATCTGTATTAGTCATAAAGTGGGTTCCAACCTAAGTAAACTTTTAGAAGTAACCAGAGAAAGTACATATAGGAGGAAGTAAAAATTTATGTTTTACAAAAAGCCCAATACATATAAATTATAGAAAGCCATAAATTTGTTTTCATTTACCCTTGTGTAAAAACATGTTATTGAGAATGTATTTTCAGGCCTTCAGAATAGAGACTTAATACAAACATTAAATGCATTACTCTAGGCATGGGAAGAGAGCAATGAAAACATCAATCTCTTACTTCATTATGCTTAATACTAGTTGGGGGTTAAGACGATGAGCAAAGTGAGTAAATTATAAAGCATATTTGAAAGTGATAACTGAAATGGAGAAAAATAAAACAGGAAAGAGGACAGAACGTTGGGGGACACAATTTGCAGCTTTAAACTAGGGTGTCAGGGAAGACCTCACCAAGAACGTGAAATTTAAGCAAACCCTAAAAAATTGTGAAGAAGCAAGTCTTACAGATATCTGAGAGAAAAAGGATTCCAAGCAAAAAAGATAAACAAGCACAAAAGCCCTGGGGAGGAAACATACTTGGTGTGTATGTGAAAGCAGCAAAGAGGGCAGGATGGCTAGAGAGGAACTAGAAGAGTAGGAGATGAAGACAGTGAGAGGCAGGGGGAAGTGTGGGTATGTGTAGAGAGATGTAAATAACCTAACTTTTTATCAAGGTCACTTTGAGCCTACTGAAAGACCACTGTTCCCAAAAAAGTAGCAGGGAGACTATAAGGATGGAATCTCTTTGGGGTAACAATGATTGCATCTGGGGGAAAAATGTGACATACTGAATTTTCACTGTGAACTTTTTACACTTTTGAATTTTTCTGTTTATGTATTATATTTTAAAAAGAAAAATATTAAAAAGTAGTCTTTCAACAAATAGTACTAGAACAGCCAAATGTCCATATGCAAAAGATTAAACCTCAATCCATACTAAGTACTACATACAAAGATGAACTAAATTACGTACCCAAATGTAAGTCCTCAAACTATAATGGTTCCAGAAGAAAATCTTAGTGATCATGGGCTAGGCAACAATCTTGTAGATACTATGAAAATATGATCCATAAAAGAAACTGATCAACTGGACCTCGTCAAAATGAAAAAACCAACCAGGTAGGTTGGCTCATGCCTACCTAATCCCACACTTTGGGAGGCCAAGGCAGGAAGGATTTGAGACCAGCCTGAGCAACACAGCAAGACCCCATCTCCACAAAAAATGTAAAAATTAGCTGGACGTGGTGGTACACATCTACAGTACTAGCTACTCAAGAGGCTGTGGTGGGAGGATCACTTGAACCTAGGAGTTTGAGATTACAGTGAGCTATAACTGTGCCATTGCACTCTAATCTGAGCAACAGCAAGACCTTGTCTTTAATTAAAAAATGGAAAAATGAAAGAAAAAAAAAAACTTCTGCTCTTTGAAAAAAGCTACAGGGAAGGAAAATATATTTGTAAAATACTTATCAGATAAAAGATTTGTATCTGACATTTGCAAGAAACACTCAAAACTCAGTAAGAAAAAAAGCAGCTAAATAGACAAAATATTTGAACACATATTTAACCAAAGTAGATATACAGATGGCAAATTAAGATATAAAAAGATGCTCAATGTTTAGTCATTAAGAAAGTACAAAGTAATACCACCATGAGACACCACTGTACACTTATTAGAATGGTCTAAAAATAAAACTGACAGTAACAAGCACTAGGTGAGGAAGCAGAGGAAATGAAATTCACAGAACTCTGCATTGGGAAATGAAAATGGAACGACCAACTTAGAGAACAGTCTGGCAGCTTCTTAAATTTATTCATACAATATAGTATCACCAGGCAATCCCATCATTCAGTATTTACTTAACAGAAATAAAAATCTATGTTCACATAAAAACCATATATATGAATGTTTATGACAGCTTTATCTATTATTGCCCCAAAGAGGAAAGAACTCAAATGTACTTCAGCTGGAGAATGCATAGATCTAAAAAATGAAAAAAATATTCATACGACAACTACCCAGCGATAAAAAAAGAATCAACTGATAAACACAACAATAGGGATGAATCTCAAACACATTAAGAAAAGCCAGACTTAAAGGGTACATACTGTGTGGTTCCAAATTTATGGCATACTCATAAAAGAGGAACTATAGGGACAAAAAAGCAGGTTAGTTGCAGGAACTTTGGGTGGGAAGAGAGGCTGACATAGAAGTGCAAGAGGGAATTTTTTTAGGAGTGATGACATTGTTCTATATTTTGTTTGTGTTGTTACCTAACTATGCATTTGTTGAAACTCACAGAACTGTATATTAAATAAGGTGAATTTTACTATATGCAAATTATATATCAATTTATAAAAAACGATTGCATTACCTAGCTTAACTTTATGCATTTACATTTGAATACAGATTAGCTGTTTTCTGCTAAGAGGCTAGAAGTCAAAGAAATGGTGTATAACGTGAATCCCAGTTAAACATGAATCATAAATAATATGACATCTCAAATAATCTTAAGTCCATGGGAAAATAAGCATTTAATCTAAATATTTTTTTCTCTATCACAGAGAAAAAGGTACATTTATTATTATGACATTTGTATTTTACTACTTTATCATAATGCCATTTGAGATCTAATAATGATAAATCTGACTCTGAATCTGACACATCCTAAAACCTAAGCAATTATTACCATCTAAGTATATTTGTATGGAATAGGTCATAAATGCTGAACAGTCAATGACTATACTTATACAAAATGTGAGAAACTTTTCTTGATAAACTAATATACATGAGCTACATCTCAATTACTGAGCAGTAGAAAAGGTGAGAATCAACTCTTGAGGCAAGTCAGCTTTTTGAGTTTTTTTCTGGTTTCCCTGGTCACCTTGTTAATACAAGGGCTAACTTGGGTTGTGGTAGCCCCATTCCACTCATAGGAATCCACTTGTGTACTTTTAATAACCATAATAATCCCATAACCCACCCCACCTATTCTATGCCATTTTTCCAGGTACTGGAAAAATTAGGTGTCTTATAATTTTTTAAAAACATTTTAAGATTCTGATTTTTCGTAGAATTAGGTATTTTAAATTAGGTATTTATTTTTGTTTTTCTGTTTTGTGGACAGTTATATAAATTACATACCATCTTTCTTTAGACAGGCCCTTGCTATACTAGCATGCTACAGAGAGATAGGAGGTATGCTTAAAGCTTGATAAAAAGTCTGTATACTGTGCCCTCCCTGCCGAATGCTTTTAAGCCTCCCTATTCAGAGGTACGTGTCACTAAGAGGGCTTAAATATCAGATTTCAATCTACGAAATCAGAGACAGTATACAAATAGAAATCTGGCTCATGTTATTAAAACAACTTAAAATCTTAAGGTAATTATGTCAGATTGCTTCAAGCACTGGGATGTCATTTTAATAAAGGCAGACTGGTGCAGGTTATTCTCTAATTTGTGTGTTCTTTCATTTATATCTATACAAAGAGCAATTTCTTCTTCAAAACTAGTTCTTTCAGTCAGTAAAAGATATGTTAGAAATAAGTTTGTATATACCTGATGAAGGGCTCCTGCTGGCAAAACAATAGCATCACCAAGGAACTGAATAAGAGTACAGGTTCTGACTCCATATTCTTCAAGCAGCCTTTGGCGGAGCTTTTTGTTCACATACCAACTTTGGTCACGTATTGGATCATGTTCTGGTAGAACTTCAAGGCCTTGTTCTTTTGAAATCTGAAATATAAACACCCAATTTAAGTAAGGAAATGGTAAATCCTGTTCAGTTAAATTTCAATTTTATTTGCAATAACAACATTCTTTCATTTTCAGAATCAATGGAACAACTGAACGAGCTTCTTCAGTTAAAAAATAACATTCTGCAATAATTTGGAACGCCCAAGAATAACAATACAGCAATACCAAAATGCTGTTAACAGAATGTCTCACCACCTCCTTCCATCATGAAGTTTCCATCTATCTGGTTTCCTTCCTTACAATTGTTTCAAAAATCTAGCACATGGATGAAGAACAAGGTAGTTGTTTCTTTACCAAAAGCCAAACCATTCATATGTATGGATTTCATAAACATTTACTGATTCTTTTTTAAGGTAAGTATAAACACAAATACCTTTACATGGCTACCCTTCTAACCCTTGAAAAATCAATTTCAAAGGATTCTTTAATCAGGGAAATAATCTGCTTTAGAAGGCACAAATTATCATATTTCAGATTAAAATACAGGTAGGTAGGGTAAGATGGTACATATAAGGCTAAACTCCTTTACTTCATATTAATTACAGAGACAGAACTTGTATCCTTTCAGAAAGATGATGTATCAGCACTGAAGATTTCTTAAAAGAAATCTCCGGCTGAGTGTAGTGGCTCACGCCTGTAATCCAAACACTTTGGAGGCCAAGGCAGGTGGATCACCTGAGGTCAGAAGTTCAAGACTAGCCTGACCAACATGGTGAAACCCCGCCTTTATTAAAAAAAATCTCCATAATTATTAAGTTTAAAAAATATCTGAGCAAAGGGTCTCAACCAATTATTTCAGGTTGATATGTATATTTCTTTCAGAGTATATGACAACTACAGTCAAGGTATGATTACTCAAAATTTGAGTATACTCAAATAAGTATCACAGTATCAGATGTGATACAGTAGAGTCATTCCCTAGGTCAGCAGCCACAAATACCCATCAGATTCAAAAATAATAAAGATCCTACGTTCTTTAGGTGTTTCTATGAAACATTATAGTTTATATATCCTGCAACTCCAGATAGCTACTTTTTGCCACCCATCTAGTATCTGGCTCATCAACAGATTAGTCCTTTATTATCAGGGAATGAAGGAGCACTACCGACTGAGAACAAATCGCCATTCAAAACCTTCACTGCATTAAAAAATTATGCAATGATCTTATATTGCTGAATGCCAGGTGGAGTTATGCTAATAATAAGTCCTTGCACGAGGTGAAGAGATATTATTTGCAAACAAAATTATACCTTTTGGAGAAATTCTCTTATCTTGTCAACATCTTTCCCAGCATAAATATGCCACAGAGCACCAGGTATTTCACTTGAGTCCTTCAGTCTTTTCCTTAAAATGTCATCCAAATCTTCTTCCTCAAATTTCTTGAGTATTCCTGAAACAAAGGAGCACATTTTCAAATTGTCAGTGAACACTACCAGAAAGCTAAGTCTCTAAAGTTGATCTATCAGAGCAGCAGAGTGCCTGACTAGGAGCAGCACTTTTTTTGTTGTTATTGTTCCCCCAGGCTGGAGTGTAGTGGCGTGATCTTGGTTCATTGCAACCCCTGCCTTCCAGGTTCAAGCAACTCTCCAGTAGCTGGGACTGAGGTACTGGCTGCTACACTTGACTGGTTTTTTATATTTTAGTAGAGGTGGGATTTCATCATGTTGCCCAGGCTGGTCTTGAACTCCTGAGCTTATAGGCAGTCCACCCACCTCGGCCTCCCAAAGTACTAGGATTACAGGCATGTGCCACCGCGCTTGGCCAGATCAGTACTCTTAAAAAGGAGTCAAACCCAGTTATATGTTCGTAACTCTTAGGACTATTTAAGAATAGTTAAGTGGGTACAAAGCAATAGGGATTTCCCCAGTTTGTTTTCTGCAAAGCAAGATGTAGGAAACAGAAAACTTAACAGCTACTATGTAAATTCAACCACCTTCTTTCCTGTCCCAAGGGAGTGGTCCTAACAATGACTTGTACTCAGCATTTCCCAACTTACAAAGGTCTTTTATGGTCACTGTTTATTAGTTGGCCCCTATAAGTACTAAAGAGTAAGGGATAACCTCTATTTTATGCCTGGGTAAAAAGGTTCCATGGTGTAAAGGTTTTACTCATTACCATGACTAATGAATGGCAGGGCAGAATGTATTCTGACTGATTTCTAGGGGATCTCATATTTGATAATGGTTAATCTGTAATCAAATGCAAATGTTTCATGAACAAAGCTGTGGTCTTGAGGAAAATCCAGCCATTCTTCTAAAATACAAACTAAAATCCCTACGCATATAAGTATGTACACAAAAAACTTTAGAAGTATATAAACAAAAATAGTAACCGTGGTTGTCTGTAAGTGTAGGACCACAGGAAGGTCCTTTCTTAAAAACTGAGTTTATGACAGTGAACATTTAAATAAATATTCTTTTAAAAAATTTTGTATACATTTAAGGGGTACGATGGCAATTTTGTTACATGGATATATTACCTACTAGTGGTGATGTCTTGGCTTGTAGTTATCATCACCTAAATAATGTACAATGTATCCACTAAGTAATTTCTCATCACCCACCCTCCTTTGAGTCTCCAATATCTATCAGGGATAAGGAATCAACCTAAGTTTCCATCAATAAAGAAAGACTGGATAAAGAAAATGTGATGTATATACACAGTAGAATACTATTTAGCCATAAAAATGAAATCATTACTGGGTAAGGTGGCTCACACCTGTAACCCCAGCAGTTTGGATAACCCCAGCAGTTTGGGATCTAACAGCCGAGGCAGGGGGATCACTTGAGCCCAGGAGTTTGAGAACAGCCTCAGCAACATAGTAAAACCCCATCTTTAAAAAAAAATTTTTTTAAATTAGCCAGGCATGGTGGCATCTGCCTATAGTCCCAGATATTTCAGTGTCTGAGGTGGGAGGACTGTTTGAGCCCAGGAGATCGATGTTGTAGTGAGCCAAGATTGTGCTACTGCACTCCAGCCTGGACAACAGAGCAAGGAGACCCTGTCTTTAAAAAAAAAAAAAACCAAAAACAGAAAAACAAACAAAAAAACTCAAAAAACATGTCTTTTGCAGCAAGATGAATGGAACTAGAAGCCATTATCTTCAGCAAAACAACTCAAACAGAAAGTCAAGTACCACATGTTCTCACTTGTAGGAATTTTTTTTTTTTTTTTAAAGAAAGCTGTTACCTGCTACAAAGTACACATTAAGCAGATGTTTCCTAATTTATGACAATAATCTCATTTTTATATTCAATCTTAGCTGCAAGCTTTTTTTTTTTCTTGAGACAAGAGTCTCGTTCTGTCACCCAGCTGCAAGCATTTCTTATTGAAACATTTAGTGTTTACTATGTGCCAGCTACTGTCCTAGGAAGTTAGGGATTAGAGTTAAGAAAGATCCATTCAAGAGATCATGGAGCTAAAGAGGGTCCTAGTAAGTGTAGGCAAATAAACATCACAATGTGATAAGGGCAATCATATCAGTAAAGTCCTCCACTGTTACATCGGTGATGAAGTTTTTTCCCAGTACATGGTAAAACAAGAAAATTAAGGACAATATAGAAAGTTGATCATAAAAAAATGATCCTTTACTCTGATATCTTTCTCTTTTTAGTCTTTTGAGATGGACTTTGACATCTAGGCTGGAGTAGAGTGGCATGATCTCAGCTCACTGCAACTTCTGCCTCTCAGGTTCAAGCAGTTCTCCTGCCTCAGCCTCCCAAGTAGCTGGGACTACAGGCACCTGCCACCACACCTGGCTAGTTTTTGTATTTTTTTAGTAGAGATGGGGTTTTACCATGTTGGTGAGCTGGTCTTGAACTTCTGACCCCAGTTATCCACCAGCCTTGACCTTCCAAAGTGCTGGGATTACAGGCATGAGCCACTGTGCCCAGTGTATCTTTCTTATAGAGTTTAAAATGTTCTCTTTAAAAATGACAGTTGATTTTTTTAAATTGTTTTAACAGAATTAAAAGCTGGAAACCTTGGATTCGTTTTCTGATTTTTTTCCTTTAAATTTTATTGCTCTGAAAATTAAAAGTACATGGGATGGGGGAGGCATCCTAAGAGAATGACTGGCTAGAGCAGAATAAGTTGACTTTCTTTAATGAAGACTTCTAAGGTGAATGATAATCTGAGTTAACATTTGGAAGAATGAATACAGGAGTCTGCCAGGAAGACATGGAGGTAAGAGATGCATTGCAGGTGAAGGAAAAAAAAAACCCTGTTCTTTAAGTATTTCTCAGTGTGTTTTAAACATTATTATAACCCAGGCTGGGCGCGGTGGCTCATGCCTATAATCCCAGCACTTTGGGAGGCCAAGGCGGGTGGATCACGAGGTCAGGAGATCGAGACCATCCTGGTCAACATGGTGAAACGCCGTCTCTACTAAAAATACAAAAATTAGCTGGGCATGGTGGTGCGCACCTGTAGTCCCAGCTACTCGGGAGGCTGAGGCAGGAGAATTGCTTGAACCCAGGAGGCGGAGGCTGTGGTGAGCCAAGATTGCGCCATTGCACTCCAGCGTGGGTAACAAGCAAAACTCCATCTCAAAAAAAAAAAAAAAAAAAATTATTATAACCCTAAAATGTTGCTTTGTGACCACCTATAAAAAGTGATAAAAACTTTTTAGATAAAGAAAGCCAAAGGATTATTTAAAATACTGAAATTAGGCCATGCGCAGTGGCTCATGCCTATAATTCCAGCACTTTGGCAGGCCAAGGTAGGCAGATCACAAGGTCAAGAGATTGAGACCATTCTGGCCAACATGGTGAAACCCTGTCTCTACTAAAAATACAAAAATTAGCTGGGCGTGGTGGCATGCGCTTGTGGTCCCAGCTACTTGGGAGGCTGAGGCAGAAGAATTGCTTGAACCCAGGAGGCGGAGGTTGCAGTGAGCCGAGATTGAGCCACTGCACTCCAGCCTGGCAACAGAGCAAGACTCTGTCTCAAAAATAACTAAAATAAAATACTGGAATTTTTGCAAAAGAAATATGCTAGGAACAGAAGCTGGGGGATACACATAAACAAAGGAAGCAAGTTCTAGCTTTTAAGGACATGAATGAATAGTAATGGAGCAAAGCAGGTTAACTTCTGTATTGTACTTCTAACTCCTATGCTGTAATTTCTAAGTGCTACAGGGAAAGATCTGAACAAACTATAATGAGACACAAAGGCTGTAACTCCATGGCATCACAGGATTAGAAAGGATAAATAATCTAAACCACACAGGGCACACTTCTGTGGCAGCACTCAGTCTATAACTCAAGTGTGCCCACTGACTCTTAAATCTCTGGGGGATGCGGGTGGTTACCTATTACAGTCAATAGTGTTAGTTAAGAAAGCTGAGTAGCATAATGTAAAAAATGAGTTATTACAGTTTTGAAGGATTTTAGATTGTGTATTATAAAATTGTCAAATGTACACAAAAGTAGAGTGAATACTATAATGAATCCCATGTCCCCAGCACCTAACCATCAAGCTATAGATCCATTCTGGGATCCAGATATGCAAATGATGATCTATTTCATGGCTGATGTCATGCACAGAATTTCACATTCTGTGAAGTAGAAAAAGTTAATGTGAAGTAGAAAAAGTTAATGTGAAGTAGAAAAGGTACAGAACACCTGAAACTCCAAAAAAAAGTCTCTAACTCCAAAATGTGCCAGAATCAGAAGTGGTATCACAGAAGAAAAGGACTATATTCAAAGAGGTAGGGATCAATGGTGCCATTTATTACAGACAGGGGTGAGTAATATGTGAACCAGAAACATACACTGAATTATCCAAATGTGTGTGAGTGGCAGCAGTAGCAACAGTAATTTCAGACTGGTATAGAACAAGACTGCAATGAGTTGAAATGTTAAAGGTAAATGACAGAGATGGTAAAATATTTCTTAGAGGGTAGGAGCAATAGCATGGAAAGGTTTAAAGGATGTTTACTTTCAAGAAAGCAAAGATATTCTTAGACTCTACTTCTACTATAAAGAGGAAAAGCCAATGAGAAGAAAAGGTTAAAGATCTATGATTGTATCTATGTCTTTATAAGGAACAGAGTAACTGACAGGGCATGGTTTCAGAAAGAAATTCAGGAGACAGAAATGAAAACCTATGTATTGGATAGAAAAAGGTTACATCCACTTAAAAGACCCCCTTCTTCCTCTTTTTAGGAGGGGGAAAAAAGAACGCTTGAGGCACAAACCATGTTTTAATCATCTGTAGAGCCCTAGGACTTAGTTTCTATTCCTCAATAAATGTTTAAAAGTAAGCTTAACAGTATATTTTCATTGACACTATACTTAATGATAGAAAAGAAATTAAAATATTCACTTTTATTTTTTTTTAATATTCACTTTTAAAATTAAAATTTCACTTACATAAAAAAATAGGAAAATTATTCAGTCTTAAAGTAATAATGTCTAAAATGCCCCTATATCCATTGCAATTATTTTTGAAATCTTTGCTGTTAACTCAGAAGCTGATATTCTGGACAATATCAGTGAATGTGATTATTCAACTGTTATTCCAAAGACTATTATTCTTTAAGTTTCTTTACCTGCTTTTGAGAGAATGCCATTTCCTTTTGCTATGCCAACATAGACTAGAATATTTACAACATCAGAAACTTCAATATGGAGATTTGTCGTTCCTATATCATGATCTTTAGCAGCAACTACACCTGTGTATAAAACAAAATTTTACTTGACAAAATATTTATATATAATAGTAATTTATCAGATATTCCCCCAAATGAGCTCTATCCACATAATTTGTTAATTATGAGTTTTAGTTTCCTTATTACAAAACCTGTTCCAAAAGCTACAATCTATAAAACACCCTATTATTTCAATAATTATGTTTGTATTATAATAAAATGTCCTATGGTTAAAAATCAAATTAATAGAAAAAAATTAGCAGGTACTTAACTGTATATTGGCTGGAATTAACATGTTGCTTAATATAAAAAAGGGTTTCGATAGATTATAAAAACAGATTTAGTAGAAACTAAAAATCATTAAACAATTTATAAGAACAGAAATTTTTTCTTTTTTTTTTGGAGATAGAGTCTTGCTCTGTCACCAAGCTGGAGTGCAGTGGCACGATCTCGGCTCACTGCAACCTCCAACTCCTGGGTTCAAGCAACTCTCCTGCCTCAGCCTCCCGAGCTGGGACTACAGGCAAGTACTACCAGGCCCAGCTAATTTTTTTAATTTGCAGCCCCAGCTATTGCAATTTTTGTTTTTTTTAGTAGAGATGGGGTTTCACCATGTTGGCCAGGATGGTCTCAATCTCTTGATCTTGTGATCTGCCCCGCCTCAGCCTCCCTAAGGGCCGGGATTACAGGGTGAGTCACCATGCGCGGCCTTGAAAAGAAATGCTTAAAAATCCAATATAATTCCTACTTGGGAGAAATGTGAATATATATACCTACCATAGGCACTGCACAACCTGGGTCCTAGATCAGGACGTACAAAAAATCCTGGCAAATGAGAGGCCAAATTGAATTTTCCTTCTGGATTACAATATTCTGGCAATGGTAGACTTTTTAAAAGATCTTCGTATCTGAAGAATAACAACATTGCCTTCTTATAAATAAAAGATTTGCATTGGTAAGTATTTTCACATACATAATTTTCCAGTTGTTCAAAACACCAGAATGCCTTTCCATAAGACAGGTAACAATTTTCCTTGACTTAAGTGATACTATAATAGCAATTCTGCTTCTCTAATCATTAAAATTAAAAGTTCCAACAGAAGGGAGGTCCTAAACAGGGTCCTGTGTTCTTTAACATGAACATTCTTCCTTCACTGTCCTAACTCAAAGACATCCCCCATGCTGAGGCTACCGACTGAGTTTTGTTATAAATTGATCAGTTAGTCAGAGAGGGTCTCACTCTGTCTCCCAGGCTGGAGTGCAGTGACACAATCTCAGCTCCCTGCAGCCTCTACCACCTTGGCTCCAGCAATCTTTTCACCTCAGCCTTGTGAGTAGCTGGGACTACAGGTGCCTGCCACCATGCTTGGCTAATTTTTGCACTTTTGTAGAGATGAGGTTTTGTCATGTTGGCTAGACTGGTTTCCAACTCTTGGACTCAAGGGATCTGCTCACCTTGGCCTCCCAAAATGCTGGGATTACAGGCGTAAGCCACTATCACTGCTCAGCCACAAGTTATTTATTTTTAACTGAGGAAGAAAAGGCCTACAGGTCACATTTACAGTTACTTATCCTATCTCTGGGATAGTCTCAGCTCAATCTCATAAAGTCAAGAGTCAAAATAAAAAGTTTCAAACCTTGTTGGCATCATAGTCTTGAAGTCTTCTCCTGAAGGCCAATCTTTCAATTTTAAAACAACTGTTTCTCCACTTTTGTTTTTCTGCCGTTCTATAAGGAATGCAGTTAATTACTAAAAGAGTAATTTCTGTCTTTTTACTAACATTTGGAGAGAAAGAAATGTAGATGAATGAATGATTTGACTGTTGCACATTACATGCTTAATGAATGCTTGCTTATTGACTTATTACTTATGTAGTGTTAAAAACTTTGTTCCTTTTATACATCAACAGAATTCATTCAATTATCCACTTGTAATATCTCAAAAATTGTTTTTAAAAATCTTGGTAACATCACAATCGTACATTACACTTTTACTTTTCAAAGTATTTTACATAAATAATTCAATGTTCACAAGCTTATGGAACTGTCAATCATTTCTCCATAAATAAGATAAAACACTATAAACAGCATCTTTAAGGTCAAAGGAAATTAGTGTTAGGGACAGGGATTAGGACCCAGTATTTTGTTTCCAATTACTTGTTTCTTTTTATTAGACAACAACATAAAACAGATCTTTCAAAGACTAAAAATCTGTTAAGTTACATTTGGAATTTATCATTTTGAAGGGGTACAACAGAGAAAATAGTAAAATAAAAACCAACATACTTGAAACTTCTTCAAAACCATCCCAGAATTCCTTAACATTGGCATTTGAAATGATGCTATCTTTGCAGTTCAGGAGATCAGCTTGGTGGTCTCCAAAATCAAGACTAATTGATTCCGCCTTCCATAGGCTAATGTTCATTTTCTTATGCACACCAGAAACCACTGCAGGCTAATAAATAAATAACAGTTAAAAGATATATAGACTTAATCTTTTTTTTTTTTTTTTTTTTTTGAGACAGTCTCCCTCTCTTACCCAGGCTGGAGGGCAGTGGCCTGATCATACCTTAGTGTAACCCTTTGGGCTCAAGCAATCCTTTTGCCTCAGCCTCTTCAGTAGCTTCAACTATTAAATTTCAAGCCTAATGAGTGATTCTCTGAAAGTTAATGTCTCCTTTGAAATTACATAAATTCAAATTCCCTCAAAGCTTTCTTACACTTGGTGGGGTAGGGGAGGAGGGGAATGGAGATGTCCTTTCCACCTGAATTCTCTAAAAGCTTTCTAATAAAGATTTATAACTTCTAAATGATATAAAAATATATCTAAGATCATCTGATATATTATTCTCAGGTTAAAAAAAAATCCTTTATTCTATGAACCAGAATTCTGGAATAGAGAACACAGTAAGCTAAGCTTAAAAGGCTGAGTGTGGCAGTGCATTCCTGTAGTCCCTGCTACTACAAGACTGAGGTGGGAGGACTGCTTGAGCCCAAGTTTTTGTCCTGCCTAGACGACATAGCAAAAGCTTGTCTCCAGGGGAAAAGAAAAATTAAGTGATTATTAGTATTCTTTTGTTTTTTCTTTATTTACTGTGCTATCTGGATAGCCTTGCTGTATATTATTAGTATTCTTAAACTTGTAAGATAATTAAAATTTAGGAACCACAAAAGCAGAATTAATCTAGTTAAGAGATTTTTTTAAATCACAAAAGACATCTCAAGAAAGAAAAAAACACCCTAAATTCTGATTTACTACGTATTTCAACGTTCCATTAAACATTTTTTCAATGAGCTAATAACATATACAACTTCAAAAATAGATCCAGGTATTAGTTAATTCCTGCTGGCAATTCACATATTAATTCCTAGTGCCTAGTACCTATCCAATAATATTCCTGCTATTGAGTCTTATGCTACCATTTCTTATGGTAATCAGCAACTTGTTAAAAGCAATTTTTTTTTTTCAGACAGAGGCTCGCTCTGTCACCAGGGGTCAGGCTGGAGTGCAGTGGCGCGATCTTATCTCACTGCAACCTCCCCGCCTACCGGGTTCGGGCAATCATCCTGCATCAGCCTCCCGAGTAGCTGGGAATACAGGAACGTAGAACCACACCCAGCTAATTTTTATAATTTAATAGAGACAGGGTTTCATCATGTTGGCCAGGATGGTCTCGATCTCTTGACCTCTTGATCAATCCATCTCGGCCTCCCAAAGTGCTGGGATTACAAGCATGAGCCACCGCGCCCAGCCCAAAAGTTAAGTAATTTTCTTTTTGAAAAGATAAGGGTTAAGCTAATTAGTATATTAAAATAATTCAAAGCACAATTCTCAGGTTATCACAATGATCTTTTTTTTTTGGAGACAGTTTGTTGCCTAGGCTGAAGCATAGTGGCACGATCACAGCTCACCACAGCCTGGACCTCCTAGGCTAAAGCAATCTTCCTGTCTCAGCCTCCCAAGTAGCTGGGACTACAGGCGTGAACCACCTAATTTTTGGTAGAAATGGAGGTCTCATTATGTTGCCCAGGCTGCAATCAATCTTCCTGCCTTGGCCCCCAAAATGTTGGGATTATAGGCGTGAGCCTATTTATATATATACCAGGCCTGTAAGGATTAGACTTCTTGGCACTGGTTTTACTCTCTTCTAACTCAACTTCTAATCTACCTTGCTGTCAGTTATTATAAAATGTCAACTTAATTATACAGATTCCACAATTAAAACTATCACCTACAGAGTAAGACTAAAACTCTTTTTTTTTTTGGAGACGAAGTTTCGCTCTTGTTACCCAGGCTGGAGTGCAATGGCGCAATCTCGGCTTACTGCAACCTCCGCCTCCTGGGTTCAGGCAATTTTCCTGCCTCAGCCTCCTGAGTAGCTGGGATTACAGGCACGCGCCACTGTGCCCAGCTAATTTTTTGTATTTTTAGTAGAGATGGGTTTTCACCATGTTGACCAGGATGGTCTCGATCTCTTGACCTCGTGATCCACCTGCCTTGGCCTCCCAAAGTGCTGGGATTACAAGCTTGAGCCACTGGGCCCTGCCAGCCGACTAAAACTCTTTAGAGTACGATATATAAGGGCATCTCATGATCACTCCTCTAGCCATTTCCTTACACCACTCTCTCCCATGAGCCCTCATCTGTTTTGCAGATAATCACACCTACTCAGAGTTCCCTAAACACCTGATGTTTTTGTATATGTCAAGCCTCTTGTCCATCTAGCAACAACTTCACTTCACTTGTAAAGAATCAATTTAGACCAGCCTTTTTGAACTAGTAATTTCCTGGCTTTGAGATTTCCTTTTCTGGGTTCTCACAGGAGCTTGAACAAAGTTCTTAAAACAACATAATTATCAAAACAATTATTTGTTTGATTCTTTTGTACCTCAAAAGCCCACACAAATTAAATAAAATTTCAGCCCAGTAATGTCATCAGGGCTTCAAGAAGACCCAGGTAAAAAAGATACGCTATAACTTGTGTATATGCAATGCACAGTATGTATTTATTTTCTGGGGTCACAGATTCAGCTTTCATCAGATTTTGAAAGGGGTTAGTTATCTAAAAAGATAAAGAAGTGGTTGGGCGCGGTGGCTCAAACCTGTAATCCCAGCACTTTGGAAGGCCAAGGCGGGTGGATCATGAGGTCAAGAGATCAAGACCATCCTGGTCAACAAGGTGAAACCCCGTCTCTACTAAAAATACAAAAAATTAGCTGGGCATGGTGGCACATGCCTGTAATCCCAGCTACTTAGGAGGCTGAGGCAGGAGAATTGCCTGAACCCAGGAGGCGGAGGTGGCGGTGAGCCAAGATCCCGCCATTGCACTCCAGCCTGGGTAACAAGAGTGAAACTCCGTCTCAAAAAAAAAAAAAAAGACCAAGAAGCATTGCACTAAAACGGTTCTTACTCGTTTGTACATAGCTTACTCATTTTTATATTCTTAATGCCTATAACACAGACTGGATCTTATTAGATGCTCAATAACAGCTGAATGAACAAAGTAAACATTTTCCAGAAAACAAGCAATTTAACGAAATGATATACTGTCATACAAATACTTAAATTTGTTGATAATTTCTGCATAAATGTAAATTGCCATATGAAATGTCTATCAAACATTATCAAAACTTTTGTCCAACAGAAAATCATTTATATTAGAGGAGAATTAAATAATGTAGTTTGTCATTCAAGATTTGATGAACTAATTTGTAAGTAAATGGTCTATATATAAATATTGAAGACAAAAACACCAAATAGGTTCATGAAAAAATGCTAATATTGATTAACATTTTAATAGTATAAATGGATCTACTAACTGGACTAAAATACCAATCTAAAAAAGAGGAGAAATAAACTACATTTTGTAAATAGACGCTGTTACTATATGTCTGTTCTCTGATAGATCAAAAAATAACATTAAACAATCAATGCTCCCCTGTTAATTCATATTAAATCTGGCCAAAAGCAGGAATTGAGAGACAATCATTCTAACAATCTTTTTGGTACTTTTGATATCTTACTGCCCCCCAAATATGTTAAGTACTATTTCTTCTCCCCTCTATTTCTATCCCTAAGGAGGGAACCATTCTGTTTAATAAGCTTCAGTTCCAGCAAGAGTGTTCTTAATCAGCCTAAAATACACACCTGTCCTTGTTTCCAACATTCTTTGAAAAGTTTCCAATTATTGCTATTCTTATAATCCTTAAGCCATAAAATATGCTTCTCACAGATCCAAGAATGTGGTATATCACTGTACAATTTATTATTTTCATCCACTGCAGATATTCTGCTTTCTTCAGGCTCTTCTTTAAGCTCTGGTTTTACATTTATTTTGGAGGTTTTACTTGGTGGAATTTTGTTTTCAACAACTGAAGCAATTATGTCATCAAGAATGTTAGGCATAGTCCGTCCACTTTTGCTACTCTATTAAGGAAAAACAAACAAAAATCGGTTTTTGACAGAAAACATACACATTTTCCTCCCACAGGCTTGTTTTTTTTAAACAATACCCCTACACTCCAGAATATGCAGTTACCTTAGTAGATATTACTTCCTATATTCCTGACAAAATGCAAACCAGAAGTTTGATTGTGTGAAAACTGCCAGGTCTGCAGAACTTAGAAGTACAGCCTTCCTACCTTTTATGTTATTATAGCCCTGGGACAGAGAATACAGGTAGGTGGCACCCCCCATATATATCATGCCTGTAGTCCTAGGGAGACAGAGTCTCACTCTGTCGCCCTTGCACAGCGGCGCGAACTCAGATCACAACCTCTGCCTCCCAGGTTCACGTGATTCTCCTGCCTGAGCCTCAGGAGTAGTTGGGATTACAAGCACACGCCACCACACCTGGCTAACTTTTGTATTTTTAGTAGAAATAGTGTTTCACCACGTTGGCCAGGCTGGTCCCAAACCCCTGACTTCAGGTGACCTGCCCACCTCAGCCTTCCAAAGTGCTAGGATTACTGGCATAAGCCACCACCCCCAGTTCCCATATACTTTTGAAAGCAATTATATTGCTCTTATTTTTTCCTGGTAAATAATTAAAGCAAAATTTAACTTCTAATTATTTTAAGTAACATGTACAGTCACTTTCTTTCTTTTTTTTTTTGAGACGGAGTTTTGCTCTTGTTACCCAGGCTAGAGTGCAATGGCACGATCTCGGCTCACTGCAACCTCCGCCTTCTGGGTTCAAGCAGTTCTCCTGCCTCAGCCTCCCAAGTAGCTGGGACTACAGGCGTGTACCACCATGCCCAGCTAATTTTTTTGTATTTTTAGTAGATACGGGGTTTCACCTTGTTGACGAGGATGGTCTCGATCTCTTGACCTCATGATCCACCTGCCTCGGCCTCCCAAAGTGCTGGGATTACAGGCGTGAGCCACTGCGCCCGGCCATAACATTCACTTTCATGTGGGTTTTTCCCTTCACTACACAAATAGTTTCCAAATTCTAAAGGGGTATCTTAGGGTTCTTCTGGTATCGAAGAGCCTCCTCCTCCACCTTAATGCCAGCTTTCAAGGTAAAGAGAATTACAATGCGAATAGAAATATGCCTAGCAATTTGGTACACTTGATTTCATCTGCATACTGGTAGCTCAGAGCCAAAAACCAAGTCTCCAAATCATATCTATTTAAAATTTTTGCCCACATTAAAAGCAAAAATTTGGCATCACACTCACTGGAGCTCCCATTGAATATACTGGGGCAAAGGCAATGCCAGCATCTGTAGAACCCACACGTAGCTTTCCAGCTGTTGTAGTCAGCAAATCCCGTAAGGTTGAGCCTTGTTCATTATTCTGGGACACAAGAGGTGATGTTCTGCCATTTGGAGATTCAGAGTTGTCTTGTTCTCTCTCTTCTTTAATTTGTTTTTCAAGGGTAAGTTCTTTGTTTTCTGAAATAAAAAATTTCATAGATTTTTGTTTTGTTTTGTTTTGTTTGAGATGGAGTCTTGCTCTGTCACCCAGGCTGGATTGCAGTGGTGTGACCTCGGCTCACTGAAACCTCTGCCTCCCAGGTTCAAATGGTTCACGTGTTTCAGCTTCCCAAGTAGCTGGGACTATAAGCATGCGTCCCCACACGTGGCTAATTTTTCTGTATTTTTAGTAGAGATTGGGTTTCACCATGTTGGTCAGGCTGGTCTTGAACACCTGATCTCAAATGATCTGTCCACCTTGGCCTCCCAAAGTTCTGGGATTACAGGCGTGAACCACCGTGCTCTATCGTTACAAATTTTAATTCCATTAAGCATGGTGCTAAAGTAGAGACACAACTGGCCCCCTGCATTGTATAGTGGAAAATAAAAACTGAAGGCAGCATTGTGATTTATTCAGCTAAACACAAACTAGAGGATGAGTTAGACCCTTCAAGATGGATTCAAACAATTTGAATATAAAAAGGCCTTCCTCAGTATTTAAGATAAGTTTACATCTGTTGCAAATAAAAAACACTACAGCAAAGACAGGTAGAAAATACAGGTAAGTTGGCTGGGCATGGTGGCTCACACCTGTTATCCCAGCACTTTGGGAGGCCAAGGTGGGCAGATCGCTTGAGGTCTGGAGTTCAAGACCAGCCTGGCCAACACGCTGAAACCCCATCTCTACTAAAAATTAAGAAATTAGCTGGGTATTGTGGCACATGACTATAATCCCAGCTACTCGGGAGGCCCAGGCACGAGAACTGCTGGAACCCAGGAGGTGGAGGCAGAGGCTGCAGTGAGCTGAGATCGTGACACTGTACTCCAGCCTGGGCATAGAGTGAGACTCTGTCTTAAAAAAAAAAAAAAATACAGTTAAGTTACACATCTAGTGCTCTGGTGGCTTTATCAATATGCTCATCCATAAACAATTCTGTAACTAACTTCCATTTGTAGTCAAAGGAAGGCTAAGGCTGGGTGTGGTGACTCACATCTGTAATCCCAGCACGCTGGGAAGATGAGGTAGGTAGACTGCTTGAGCCCAGCAGTTCAAGAACAGTCTGGGCAATATGGCAAAACTTCATGTCCATTAAAAAAAAAAAAAAAATTTGGCCAGGCATGGTGGCTCACGCCTTAATCCCAGCACTTTGGGAGGCCGAGGCAGATGGATTACCTGAGGTCAGGAGTTTGAGACCAGCCTGGCCAACATGGTGAAGCACTCTCTTCTAAAAACAAAAAATTAGCTGGGCATAGTGGTGCATGCCTTTAGTCTCAGCTACTTGGGAGGCTGAGGCAGGAGAATCGCTTAAACCTGGGAGGCAGAAGTTGTAGTGAGCTGAGATCGTGCCATTGCACTCCAGACTGGGCAACAAGAGCAAAACTCCTTCCCCTAATCCCCCAAGAAGAAAAAATTAGGCATGGTGGTACATGCCTGTAGTCCCTGCTATTTGGGAGGCCAAACTGGGAGGATCATCTGAGCCTGAGAGGTCAAGGCTGCAGTGAGCCATGATTGTGCCACTGCACTCCAGCCTGGTGATAGTCTCAAAACAAAGAAAACAACAACAAAAAGGCTAGTTCCTAATAAGACAAAATGTTTACATTGAACCTAAGCCATAATTCAAGCAAAAGACCAAAGTAAATTATTTACCTTAATATTAACAGTACCTGTACAATAGTACATTATTGGTTAGAAATGCTATATGCCTTGGAAACCTGGATAGTCTCAATTAAAAAAAAATACTATACTCCTCTCACACATACCTAGATAATCAATTATGTTTACCTTTTTTTTCCTCTCTGGCTTTTTGCTCTGCAAGATCTGCTAACCAGTGCAGTGGTGACTGGGATTCTGGAGGAGTTAACTTGTTATCTGTGCCTACATCACTCTCTGGGCTGCTGCTGCCATTTTTCTCAGACTTCTGAGGAGTATTTTGCTGCTGAGACTCAGGCATGCACAGAGAAATTTTATTACCATGATTAAGAACATTCTGTAAAACCTACAAAGGTAGAACAATTACATTTTTAAACACTTTCTTCAATTATTCAGTTAGTAGCATAGATATAAGAAATTTACACACAAACACAGAAAACATAAGTCATACACAAGTCCTATATCAAATTTCAAATATGTATTTTTAGCCATATATTTTATTTGAATAATCAGATTCTTTACTCACTTGAGATACACCATTCATTGCAGGAAAATTTCCAACTTGTAAATTCTGTTTGTTAGTACAATGACAATGAGATTTAATACCATATTTTTCCCTAAGAGTGTGCATGGCATCTAGAAGATCTGTCAAAACTACAAAATAAAATGGTAGTTAATAAAAAGATTACCACTAGTTGTTAATGCTGTAAAATTTTTTTCTTACAATATTTTATATTATAATATGGAACAATGGAAGTTTTCTTTTGCCCTTTAAATTTCTTCCATTTTTCTCCATTCTCTTCCATCTATTATAGACTCAATTATTCAACCAAATTTATGTTCTCTATTATTTTCTCTCTTACCTCTATTAAAAATTAGATATGCTCAAAATCTGTAAAAAGCTTTCATTGGAAATCTAATAGGCATTTTCATTACACTCTAGCTTTCCCCTTTTAATGGTGAACTTTCTTCATAACTGAGGCTTGGATTTATCTTCTGAGCTTTATTACACAGAGGATTTCCAATAACTGAGCAAGATAATGAATCAATACTAGTTAAACCTTCTCTCTCTCCATCCGGTTATACTTCTAGATACTCCCTTAAGTGTTCCTTTAATCTGGAGCAACCAAGAGCAGTTATATTACATGAAGAAGGTATATTTATACTTACTAGAACCAGGTATAATTTGGGTTGGCATTAAATGTTTGTGATCATGAGGCTGTCCCTTCACACACTTCATCCAAGCATATAGTTCTTTATCTGTAAGATAATACGCCTTGTTGTATATCACATTCATGGTTTCATAATTATAAATTGATGGTGTGAAGAACTTAACGATTATATAAAATGTCTTGGCCAGGCGCAGTGGCTCACGCTTATAATCCCAGCACTTTGGGAGGCCGAGGCGGGTGGATCACAAGGTCAAGAGATTGAGACCATCCTGGTCAACAGGGTGAAACCCTGTCTCTACTAAAAAGAAAAAAATACAAAAAAAAAAAAATTGGCTGGGCATGGTGGCGTGCGCCTGTAGTCCCAGCTACTTGGGAGGCTGAGGCAGGAGAACTGCTTGAACCCAGGAGGCAGAGGTTGCGGGGAGTCGAGATTGCGCCATTGCACTCCAGCCTGGGTAACAAGAGCGAAACTCCGTCTCAAAAAAAAAAAAAAAGTCTCACTGGCTAGAGTTACAGCCAATGAGGAAAAAAAGAAAATGTCAATGATATGCTTTAGAAGTCTGGTTCTGAAACAAGTCAGGAAAAACAGTTCCACCATTCCCTGAATTTTGTAAAAACAGTGATGCAAAATGGATATAAATAGCCTTTTCTAACATTTCCAGCTATTATTGTTATTAGTCACCTCTAACTTCTCTGTAGCTAATCTCCTTTTATCTCATACCTGTTTTCTGTGCCAAACAGAATTTTAGCCCGATTCTACTACATCAGACTGACACAGTTTGAGATGACTATTAATTCATTTTCCTCTTATGCTTCAAAGACATGCAGAGAAACATGAGACATGTGAAAAAGCTGGTACCATATAGTTATTAATTTCTATTGCTGACTCCAAGTAAGGTTTCATCCCTAAAGTTGTAAACAATTAAGGCATAGCATAGGGCATAACATAAAGATTAAACGTGTTTGATACCTTGATCTCAAGAACTTTCTCTTTAAATTTAGTGACACAGACAGCTACTTTATGAGGTAGCTATAACAGCTTCAGTGTCACAACACTCAATAAATTCAGCATTAAAAAATCTAGAAGTAGGCCAGGCATGGTGGCTCACACCTGTAATCCCAGCATTTTAGGAGGACAAAGAAGGCGGATCACTTGAGGTCAAGAGTTCAAGACCAGCCTGGCCAACATGGTGAAACCCCATCTCAACTAATAATACAAAACTTAGCCGGGTGTGGTAGCACATGCCTGTATCCCAGTTACTTGGAAGGCTGAAGCAAGAAAATCGCTTAAATGGGGCAGGGCCGGGGGGCTGAAGCTGCAGTGAGCCGAGATTGCACCATCGCTCTCCAGCCTGGGCTATAGAGCAAGACTCCATCTCAAAAAAAAAAAAAAAAATCTAGAAATATTATTTAATAAAAATATACATTAAATAAAATTCATACCCAGTCTAAAACTAGTTACCTTTAAAAACTTTGACTTTCCTCTGCAAAACCTATGTAACTTGCAAACATTTTATCTATTGCTTATATTTTAGAAATTTATGTTGATTACCACTATATGAAGCTATATATTAAACCTACTCGGCTGGGTGCAGTGGCTAACGCCTGTAATCCCAGAACTTTAGGAGGCTGAGGCAGGTGGATCACAAGGTCAAGAGATCGACAGCATCCTGGGCAACATGGCGAAATCCTGTCTCTACTAAAAATAGAAAAATCAGCTGGGCATGGCGGTGGGTGCCTGTAGGCCCAGCTACACGGGAGGCTGAGGCAGGAGAATCGCTTGAACCCAGGAGGCAGAGGTTGCAGTGAGCTGAGATTGTGCCACTGCACTCCAGCCTGATGACAGAGCAAGACTGTCTCAAAAAATAAAAATTCTACTAAATCTGAGTTTTACTACAATATTTAACAGTAAAATAGATATATAGATAGCACAGATAATAACCCAAGGTATAAGTTACACTTGAAAGAATGATACTTTCAAAATTAATACTACTATGCAAATAGCAGGCTGGGCATGGTGGCTCATGCTTGTTAACTCCAGCACTTTGGGAAGCCAAGGTGGGTGGATCAACTGAGGTCAGGAGTTCAAGACCAGCATGGCCAACATGGTAAACCCTGTATCTACTAAAAATACAAAGTTAACCGGGCATGTTGCCCCATGCCTGTAATCCCAGCTACTGAGGAGGCTGAGGCAGGAGAATTACTTGAACCTAGGAGGTTAAGATCGCGCCCCTACATTTTAACCTGGGCAACAAGAGTGAAACTCCGTTTCAACAACATAAAAAGAAAATAAGAAAAAAAATCAGCAGCAATGTAACAATTTAGTTTTAATATAAATACTCTTTATCTTACAAAAAGAATTTATAGTAGCTCATGTATATATACATATATACAACACAGCAAAATAGAGTAAATTAAAATTAACTTTTTTAATTTGGCAAAGGAAAACCAGAAATAATATGAAACCAGGAAAAAGGAATTTGAAATGCATGTCATGCCGTCAAGTTTTATAACTGAAAATGTCAAAATACATTTATTACTGTTTCATATTTTACTCATATTAACATATTTATTGCATATTCCAGAAACACTTAGCTATAGATGTTCAGCTATGCTTCCACATTTGCTCAGGTTTCTTTGGTAATAAAGGGTAAGAAACTTTGGTAATCCTATCAGTAGAACATAATGATTGTTAACCACGGTTCATCTACCTGATATACTACTATGAAAAAAGAGCTGCCTGAAATGAAAATGACATTCACTACTTTGAGACAATCTATGCTAAGTACTTCTAATGCTTCCACAATTCTAATCCTCTTATTTCATCAGAAGTCTACTCCTAACAAAAAACTCAATACCAGTTTTAGGTAGTCACTTCCAAAATTGCCTTGGATAATCTTTGTAAAACACTTTTGACTCATGCAGTTACTTCCTTTTTGAGACAGGGTCTCACTGTGTTGCCCAGGGTGGAGTGCAATGATGTAATCACATCTCACTGTAGCTTCCATCTCCTGGGCTCAGGTGATTCACCCATCTCAGCCTCCCAGGAAGCTGGGACTATAGGCACACACCAGCATGTTTAGCTGATTTTTTTTTTGGTAGAGATAGGTTTTTGCCATGTTGCCCAAGCTGGTCTTGAACACCTGGGCTTAAGTAATCTTTGGAGGCCTGCCCTGGCATCTCAAAGTGCTGGGAATTACAGGCGTGAGCCACCAAATCTGGCCCACTTCCTTTTTAAAACTTTATATTACTTCTAGCTGTATTAACAAAGAAACATTGTTTCGGTGACATTTATTTACCTAGAAATTAGAAATAATTGAAAAGCTGTTTCCAAATATCAAATATTTCTTTTCTAAAAACTGGAGTCAGCCAGGGCGACATGATGAAACCCTCTCTCTATGAAAAATACAAAAAAATTAGCCAGGTATGCTGGTATGTGCCTGTAGTCCCAGCTACTCAGGAGGCTGAGGTGGGAGGATCACTTCAGCTTAGGAGTTCAAAGCTGCAGTGAGCTGAGACTGTACCATAGTATTCCAGCCTGGATGACAAGGTGAGACCCGGTGTCTCCAAACAAAACAGAAAAATGGGGATAAATGGGGAGGGTGGCAGCATATTCTTCCAACATTTTTATTTGTATGCTACAGACTAATATTTAGAAAACTCAATTTACATTTACACTAATAAGTATTCAATTGGGACTTATACGGTATGATACTGCAATTCACAGGTCCCAGAAGGACTTCAGGCTTCTACACACTGCAGTCTTTTAAAAAAAATTTTAAAGAGACAGGTTCTTGCTCTGCCCCCTACACTGGAGTGCAGTGGTACAGTCAAAGCTCAGTGTAACCTTGAACCCCTGGGTTCAAGTGATCCTCCTGACTACGCCTCCCAAAGCACTAGGATTATAAGCATAAGCCACAGTGCCTGGCCCACACATTGAAATCAAAGCAACAAGGCCTAACCTAAATTTGGGCTACATTAAAGAACTGACTGAAATGAGAAGATGGATACCCTCAAGAGGCTGATGGGTGTAGATGCAATTTAATTCTAGAAAATATGACCATTAATAAACTGTGATTACTTCTCCTCTTAAAAACAAACTAAAAAAAAAATTCCTTAATATACTATTAATTAAGGAAGGTAGGAATAAAAAAATCATCTCATGTTCTAGATTAGTGATCCTAAAAAAAATTATTAAAAATCTTCTATTTATATAAACTTATACACCAACCTCTAGAACTCTTCCTTTCCTTTGCCTTGTAACAATCTAAGCAGACCACAAATCCACATTTTTGGCAGACCCAGTGAATGTTAAACAATGTTGCTTCACATGCATCACACATCTCCCGGACTCCTCTCACTGCTCTTTTCCAGGCAATTTTGGCTGAAATACAGAAAAAACAAAAATTTTAAAGGCAAACATGCTCTTTTCCAAGACAATTTTGGCTGAAATACAGAAGAAATAAAAATGTAAAGGCAAACCAAGAACTTTCTGGGCTATATTAACTAAAGACCAATAGATTTTTTGAAGTAATTAGTAATTCTCTTCAGAAGACTCACAGATAATAAGTTAATAATAAAAATGGCTTATATGTAAGGCAGGGTTTTTCAACTCTGGCACTTTGGACATTTTCGGTTGAATAATGCTTTGTTTTGAGGGATTATTCTGTGCACTACAGGGTGTTCAGTGGCACCTGTACCCTCTACCTACTAGATGCTTGGCAGCATATCCTTAACTCCCTCAGTTATGCAACCAAAAATGTCTCCAGTCATTTGCTAAGCGTTCCCTGAGGGGCAAACCAGTAATTTTAAAGAAGGGAAGGAAAAGAAGCTAATATTTAGAGCATCTACTATATTAGGTCCTATTAAGTACTTTACATAAATTAACATAATTAACATAACTACTTTGTAAATAAATTAATCAAATAGTTATCCTTCCAATTTTATAGACCTGCTGGATATCCAGAGAGGTTATTTGCACAAGGTAACAGTTAAACAGGAAGTAAAGCTGAGATTCCAATAGAAATAATTGGGGTAGATTATGTCTTTATAGGCCAAAAGTTAAATTTTACAACATGCATCCAAAGTGGGTTTAACACATTAATTTATGTTGCAGTGGCAGAAATACCAAAATACTACTGTGATTTCATAAATGGTTAACTGACTCAATTCACCTTCTACAGGAAAATACATGTAACCTTAAATACATATTGGTGGCCGGGAGCGGTGGCTCAAGTCTGTAATCCCAGCACTTTGGGAGGCCGAGGTGGGCAGATCATGAGGTCAAGAGATCGAGACCATCCTGGCCAACATGGTGAAACCCCGTCTCTACTAAAAATGCAAAAAAAAAATTAGCTGGGCATGGTGGCATGCGCCTGTTGTCCCAGCTAGCCGGGAGGCTGAAGCAGGAGAATTGCTTGAACCTGGGAGGCGGAGGTTGCAGTGAGCCGAGATCGCCACTGCACTCCAGCCTGGTACCTAGTGACAGAGCAAGACTCTGTCTCCAAAAAAAAAAAAAAAAAAAAACGTATTGGTACATTCATTTGTAAAAAGGTATCATTATCATAATTAAAAATCAACACGATAAGATTAGGGATTTCTTTCATAGATCAAATATAATTCAACGAGAAATTCTTAAAATTTGTATAGTTCATATTATATTTAACTTCCTTACCATCCTTTTTCACCCACGACAAAGCTGTTTTTTCAGATGTTACTAATTGACAGAACTTATCCCCTATTATATCCAAGATATATTTAGAAGTTTCTATATCTAGTTCATCATCTTCATAATTTTCATGTGTCCACAAACTCATAGCTTCTTCATCATATTGGTCAGGAGAAGAGAAACCATCTATTCTAACTACTCCATTTTTACTAAATGACAATCTGAAATATTAAAACATAAAAGCATTAGGTACCAACATATTAAGAAAACATAAATCCAGTTTTTAAAGTTGTAAATTTATAATTGTTTATACTGCATTATAAAACAATACATTGAAAATAGGAATACATGGTAATTCTTCCCACACTAATTATTGAATTAATTTAAATAACTAATAGGTGTTATGCAAATGACAATAAGTAGTGCCAGTCTTCGGTTATTTCAAGAAATAAAATCACGTAGACTTAAATTACTTAACTCCAACAAAATAAAACTGTTTAAGTGTTTGATGAGTAACAAGAGTAAAAATGTGGGCCCAAGGTTGCCCAGAGCAATGCTATTATTTTACACATAACCTAAATCAGGAATCACTAAAGCTGAAATGGCCTAAATCACCTTAAGACTTTGACCAGGAGGACTTTAAAAATGCCAACTACACATACATTTTCATTCATTGACACATTATTAAAGTGATTTAGGAGAACAAGAATGAAATGCTTAATAGTTTTATAGAAACTGCATTAATGTGCTTACTTGCTCTGAGCTTCTGATGTCCAAATAACTACTCTATTCAGAGAAGTTTATGGTAAATGGCAGGTAAAACTACCATTTTCTTACTGGCTGGTGGTTATTCCTCAATTATCTTGTACTTAACTCTCTTTACTCTCAACTAGGTGATGTCTAAAATACAAGTCATACTGTATTTTTCATATGAACAGCAACACTTCTTTTATTACTATTTTTTGTCTTTATTATCAAAGTTTCCTTCTTTTTAAATGAAATTTCTCCTTTTGTCATACCCCAGCATCTTATTTTGACTTTATGTTACAATCTTTGCCTGAACATTTCTTTCCTTCAGACCTAGATTTTCTTATCACCTCAAACCTACTTTCCTTTTGATTCCTTTTTTCATCTTTTCTGTACTTCCATATGTACTACCTCCTATAACTATTCCCTGAAGTTGTCTGTCCTTTGGGGTCTGCTGGCTACAAGGGAAGAAAGATAACTTGGTCCATTCTTATCAATACATAATTTTGGATGTCTATACTTGGCTACCAGCATATTGTACTAAGCAGAATAAAGTATCTCAACTTCTTAGGAAGATAATTACAGCTAACAATAGAGCATTTCATATGTGCATGGGACTATATTAAGGACCTGGGATATTTTATCTCATTTAACCTTCATTAACCCTCTCTTAGGCAGGTACTAACATTTACATTTTGCAGATGAGACAGGCTTAGTTGTAGTCCTACCATAGTTAATAAACTCATATAGGAACTAAGGGACAGAGATGGAATTTACAACTAGAAATGACTGATTCTGGAGTGTGACATGTTAATTAGTCTTTACTGTCTGGGTTATCCAACTATTCTCCCCTCTCCCCCATCTACTCTTTATTTGAACTCTTACAAGTCCACCTTTAAGTTTTTAACTTTAAAATATTACTTGGTAATATCTATATTAAATTACTATGTAGGTTAACAACTTTTAAGTGGTTTTCATATTTTACTACAATAACGTTAAAATATGACAGGGTACTAACAAATCCTCCTTGTCATTTTGTAACTTTTTTTTTTTGAGATGGAGCTTCACTTTTGTTGCAGCAATGGTGCAATCTCGGCTCACTGCAACCACCACCTCCTAGGTTGAAGCTATTCTCCTTCCTCAGCCTCCCGAATAGCTGGGATTACACTCATGTGCCACCATGTCTGGTTAATTTTGTATTTTTAGTAGAGACAGGGTTTCTCCATGTTGGTCAGGCTGGTCTCAAACTTCCGACCCCAGGTGATCGAGCTGCCTTGGCCTCCCAAAGTGCTGGGATTACAGGCATGAGCCACTGCACCTGGCCATTTTATAACTTATCTTTACAGCTACAAATGTTTCATGTATGTTTGACAAAAGTATGGGTACCACAATGTAATGTAATGGCTTCAGTTTAACTGCCTAGATTGCTTACCTAGATTTAAAGTCTGTGATTATTAGCTAAAGTACAGAGAGAAATACTAAATTATTTTGGCCAAAGTAAAAAACATTTTTAAAAATCCTTAAATAAAAACTGTTATTTCCTATCATGTTCTTAAAAAAAATCATTTTCTTATTAAGAATAAATCTCAGAATAGAAAGGTCATATGAAACATGAGTAACAATGTATTTAGTGTAATAGTTAGAAATTGTTAAAATTTAGTACAAAAATGTTTAATGCTCTTTTATAGTGTTTCAGAAACACGGAGACTCAAAGACTCATCCCCTCATCCAAAAGGGACACTCAGAATAACACTATCATTTCCAATATAAAAATCAATAAATTATTTTTTTCGTAATTTCATATTTTCACTTACCGTCTAAAGTAGTAAAATCTACAAAATACCGGTGAGTGAGCTGGTTCTTCTCCTTTTTTACTGCGAATAAGTCTGCATTCTCGGCACTTTTGTAAATTAGGCCCTATCTCACAGCAGGAGTCATCCTGTAAAAAGGATTCCCCAGTTTGCTTCAGCTTCTTGACTTTACGCCAATCTTTTAATACTGAACGAGGAATGCCAGCTGTAAAATCAGTAGGAAAGTTTTAGCAAAATTTTACTTTATAGAAAGTTAAACTCCTTGAGATGAAATTCAAGTCAGTTATACAACTGTGATAATACAGTAAGACTATAGCAAAGAAGCAAAGACAATAAGAGCTCTAGGTACCAACTAATGACTAAGAAGTCTACAGTAGCGTTTCCATTTACTTACTATCCAATTCTACTAACCAAATGAACCACTCTTATGTCAGTGTACTGAAAATGCAGAACTAAGTTTTCCAGCTGCCTGAACTCCTTAAATATTAAGTAGTTCATATAGTATAACAGCAAACATGAGAATTATTTATATACTGTGTAAATCAGTAAGTGGAAATACAGACCTTCAATACCAAAAGTTGGTTTATGTAGAAGAAATCTCTTTCAAGATCCACACCAAGAACATAAAGATCAAAGGTTTATATACTTAGAAACTACAGGCTGGTTTCAACATATTTCTACTGAAATATATAATCTGGGCTGGGCACAGTGGTGCACGCCTATAATCCCAGCACTTTGGGAGGCCGAGGTGGGTGGATCACGAGGTCAAGAGATCAAGACCATCCTGGTCAACAAGGTGAAACCCTGTCTCTACTAAAAATACAAAAATTAGCTGGGCATGGTGGCATGCACCTATAGTCTCAGCTACTTGGGAGGCTGAGGCAGGAGAATTGCTTGAACCCAGAAGGCGGAGGTTGCGGTGAGCTGAGATCGTGCCATTGCACTCCAGCCTGGGTAACAAGAGTGAAACTCAGTCTCAAAAAAAAAAAAAAAAAAGAAAAGGAATATATAATCTGATTTTCCAGGGTAGTGTGGCTCATTAAGACACATGGTAATTGTATAAAACCTGTATTTGGGAGAAGAGGTGCTAAAATATTTCTCCTAACATCTTTCCTTTATTATAATACCCTGCATTTGATATCAGAATACTGATGGCGGCGGTATCTTTTAGAAAAATAAGAGAGTTTGAAGAAAGTAAAGGAAAAATAAATTAACTTGGCTACCTCTATTGATGAAGGAATAAACGGCATCAAAAATGTGAAAAGGACAAAACTCTAATGAACTATCTAGTCTATTATGTGGGGGAAAAAAAAACTTATTTACATACTCTACATCATTGCTCCACCACACTTACTGACTTATGCTTAATAAGTATAACACTAGCTGAAGTAATCGTCATCTAGAGAGTAGGAAGAATTTCTAGACTGAGAGGATCTTCAAAAATTAATGTTTATTAAAATTTTTACAAACATATTCACTTCAAAGCAATCTATGTTGGGGTCCAGGCGCAGTGGTTCAGCCTGTAATCCCAAAACTTTGGAAGGCAGAGGCAGGCAGATCACTTGAGGCCAGGAGTTCAGATCAGTCTGGACAAAATAGTAAAACGCTGTCTCTACTAAAAATACAAAAATTAACCAGGTGTGGTGTCACACGACTGTAATTCCAGCTACTGGGAGGCTGAGGCAAGAGAACTGCTTGAACCCAGGGGAGGAAGGTGCAGTGGGGCAAGATCATGCCACTGCATTCCATCCTGGGTGATGGAGTCTTTTTTTTTTGTTTAAAAAAATATGAAACAAAATAAAAGCAAGCTATGTTGGGATAAGCAGTTATTTGTTGGCTCTAACTTGTAAGTATACTTACTGCACCCATATAATGTATCTTTATGTGAGACATCAGTTTTACACAGTGTGCTATTTCTGTCATGCTGAAAGAATAAACTGTATTTCCTATCCTTGTGTTTTCTAATCATGCCCAATGTGTAGGTCAGAGGTACAGCAATTCTCCTGAGACTACATACTTCTTGCAGAAACTCAGAAAGTACTGTGTTTAAATAAACTATATGGAGTGGCCCATTTGAAATCAGGTCCAGTTATCAAGCACCTCTAGAACTGCTGCCTCATTCTTTACAATTACGTGCTTTCCCCTCTTCTGTCTCTAACTTAGGGCAAGGAACCATTTGGCTTAATCTACTAGAGAAACACCCATGTGTATAACCACATACCACATCTCCCATTTATGGTATAAACCCATTTCCAGAAGACTTATGTAAAAGGTTTATTTCCTCCATTGTGCAAAAGACAGATTTTTTCCAATGAACTGTGTAAAATATTCAGAACTTTTACAGTCAGAATGAATGACAGAATTGTTATAATGCTGATAAATTTTTATTTGGCATACTTGCTTCTAGTCATTTATTTACTTTCAATTTATTACATAGAATAAACTAAATATAGTCGATTTCTATTTTTATTATATGCCTTTAATTCCAGATAATGGAACAGTTCAGAGTATGGATCACCATACCACTGTGAACAACTTAGATAATACTATAGTAAAGAATCAGACATTTAAAAGCAAATCTCAATTATGTGACACAAAATAGGCACTTAGAGCTTTTTTTCCTGTAAAATAAATAAGTACAAAGACATTAAGGCCACATTCATATGGAGACCTTTTGATGTTATAATTTTTGCTTCTAGATGAGGCCATACATGACTGCAGCTATCTGTACAACAGCTATAGTATTTGTACAATACATTTTTATTGTACAAATAATTTTATTATGCAAATACAATAATTGTATTGTTCAAATGCTATGTACAAATACTATGTAGTATTTGTACAACAGCTGTAGTATTTGTACAATAAATAAAATTCATCCTTCAATTCCATATATATAATTTACTGACAATATATAAAATGTAACTTTGAGATCAAGACATTCAACAAAAAATACCTAACTCAACGGATAAGTCTTCATTTATAATAAGAATCTTAGTTCTCTATTAGCAAATCCACAAATAGCTGCTCTAACAGAAAACTGGGAGGAAGAAAATGAGAGCCAAAATACATGCCGAATATTAATCTCTGTATATGCCACCCCCTTGAAAAAATATTCTTTTGGAGATACGGAAATTACTATGATCATAAACCACTGGTTTTGTGTATCACAGAATTTACATGTTTAAATATAGTGGCAATTTCAGATCATAAAATTAAAAGTAAAAATTAGATAAAATGTAAGATGAAAGTAAATAAAACATAAACATTAGTGGAAGAAAAGCAGCTGACTTTTAATTCAGAAAGAGAGCAGATAGGAAGACATTCTGAAATAGCAGGTACAACTAAATCTGTATCTCACTTTATAATATACTAAGAAACACATTATTATACATGTATGTGTGTATAAAATATATAATTATACATGTATAATGGTGTATGTAATCATATTACATAGTTGAGGTGTAAGCCGAACTCATTCTTTTTGATTGACCATGACTGATGACAATTCTACTAAACATTAGAAGGAAAATGGACATATTTAATCCATGAAGTAGATAATTCACTCATATTTAGAAGTTCCCTGACTTATGGAAGCTCCCAACTTAAAGAACTTTCTTATGCTCAGGAGGCTGAGGCAGGAGGACTGCCTGAGCCCAACAGGTTGCTGTGCCCTATGGCTGCACCTGTGAATAGCCACTGCACTCCAGCCTGGGCAATATAGAGATTCTGTCTCTAAAAAATATTTAATAAAAACTTTTCTAGGTAGCCTAGAACAAAAGCAAGTCAACTCTGCCCACAATTAAACATGGCATCTAATGTTAACTTAATATTACTTTGGAATTGGTGAACAAATGGGTCATAAAATAGTCTCTCTAAAGCTACATGCTAATTACCAAGCAGGCAAGATTTGACTAAACACTACAACCTGGTGGGAGGTAGGGGGGAGGCACTCATTCTAGCCCTTGTCTTAGAACTCTTACTTGTGAATATGTATATTCATCTCAAGATGAAAAGAGAATATGTATTTCACTAAGACTTAATTTTATAAATATAACTTCACAAGAGTTTTCCTGGGTGTTAATAGACAGGAATCTGTTATTAATTTAAGTTTTACTCAAGTATTTGAACACCCAATACCAAAGGAAATGTCATTTAAGACAGAAGAGAAATAATTAAACTGCTTATACTAAGCCTATTATGAATTCGTTGGGGCAGTGAGAGAATAAGGGGAACACATAAGAAAAGCAACACTGTATATAACCCAATATTCAAGTAAATGGCAGGTATCCTCCGATGTTAATCCCCCTCTCTGTCTTCTGACTATGCTTGCATTTCAGTCTGTCAGTCTCTGGCTCTAGTTGAGTTTGTCCTTTGTTCTTTCACTTTCTGACTGTCCTTTTCTATGATTCCATCCTCCTGTTTTCCTCTCCTTCACTTTACCTCTGGTTTCCACACAGGCATGTGGGAAAACCTCATTCAGTTAAAAGGCACAAATGAGAGCCTTCAAGCATCCAAGTGCTTGTGAAAGTACTTCTTGAGTGTCCACATTGTCACAGATATTTCATATATTGTATGTGGATGAACACACGGATATAGTGAAACTAAGTGCTTTCTGCATTGTGCCACATACCTAAAAAGAAATAAGCAAACTGAGAAAAACTACTTCTAGAGTAAAATAATATAGAAACACTTTATAGTGAATATTACTGTTAAGTATCCCTTATTTTTTCCAGCTGTAGCCACAAAGGAAATAAAATCAGTTTTGAAGCTATTACTTAATATGGCAATTCTTTAACATCGAAATAAAAACACAAAACCACAAGCCACCCCTTATATTTAACTTTTACCCATTGTTAAGGACTATCTGAATGAGAAGCATTACTTAAATAGATGATAGTTTCCATAAGCTTCCAATTTTTGTCACCAGACGATATAAAAGTGAAATATAGACCACATTCATATTACTCTGAAGTACAATTGACCCTCCATAACTGTGGTTTCCAAACCCATGTATTCAACCTACCATGGATCAAAATACTCAGGGGAAAAAAACATCCTACAAAGTTCCAAAAAACCAAACTTTAATTTGCCATGTGCAGAGTACTATGCTCAATCATGCATGAATGAAGTGATGTGTAGGCACTGCATTAGGCATTACAAGTAATCTAGAGATGAGCTAAAGTATATGGGAGGATGTGTGTAGGCTACATGCAAATATAGTCATACATTGTTAGGCAATTTCCACATTCTGGAAACTTCATAGAATGTACTTACACAAATCTAGCATATAAACCTGTACAGTATGTTACTGCATACTGTAGATAATTGTAACACAGAGTATTTATGTATGTAAACACAGAAAAAGTATAGTAAAAACAGTCTTATAATCTTATATGAGACCACTATCATATATATATTCCCTCTTTTTTGTTGGGGGGGGGGCGGGGGTGGAGACAAGGTCTTGCTCTGTTGCCCAAGCTGGAGTGCAGTGGTGCAATCATGGCTCACTGCAGCCTCAACCACCCCAGCTTAAGTGATCCTCCCACCTCAGCTTCCCAAAGTGCTGGGATTACAGGAGTGAGCCACTGTGCCCAGCTGTGCATTTTGTCACTGATAAATAAGTTATTATGTAGCATATGACTGTACTATGCTATTTTATATAAAGGATGTGCACATCTGTGAATTTTGGTATCCATGGAAGGGTCCTGGAACCAATCCCTGACAGGTATACCTAGAAACAATTGTAATTCTCTTCTAGAAATTTGCAATTATGTATATGTGAGTAGAATTTCTTTCCCAACTATATCTTGTTGTAGGTAAATATCTTAGCTGATACTACGAATCCACTTTTGGTGTGACAGCCATAACTGCATTTTGACAATTCTTAGAAATGGCCAAAATTACAAGTAACTACTAAATTACACATTGGGTTACACAAATTACCTGCAATGACTGTCACATAAAACATATATTTCTACAAGTCTTTTAACAATGAAGGAATATGTGTTCTCTCATTTCCTCTTAAAGGGTACTCACTTGTGAAATGTACAAATGAGATCAATAAGCATATACATAAAGTTAAGGCATGCAGTGAAGACAAAGGATGCCCTTAAGCTCACTAATTTTTTCTTTTTTTTTTTTTTTGAGACAGTTTTGCTCCATCACCAGACGCCAGACTGGAGTGTAGCGGCCCAATCTCAGCTCACTGCAACCTCCACCTCCAGGGTTCAAGCAATTCTCCTGCCTCAGCCTCCCAAATAGCTGGGACTACAGGCACACGCCATCACACCCACCTAATTTTTGTATTTTTAGTAGAGACGGGGTTTCACCATGTTGGCCAGGATGGTCTCAATCTCTTGACCTCATGATCTGCCCGCCTTGGCCCCCCAAAGTGCTGGGATTACAGGTGTGAGCCACTGGGCCCAGCCTAAGCTCACTAATCTTTAAAGAAGCACACTAATACAGCTAAAACATTCAGCCCATTTTACCTGAGACAAAAGAAAGTAAATGACTTACTAGTACTGTTGCTTTGCAACTTCAATTTACTTTTTTCTTTGGCACTCCTGCTTAGAACTCCATTGGGTTTCAAATCTTCTTCTATTTCAGTTTTTCTCTTCTGCAAATCATTTTGCTTCTTTTTGTAAGTTGGCTTTGGTTGCCTTTTAGTCCTTTGCTCTGACTTGCTTTCGCTTTCATCTGAGTCTCCACTTTCAGAGCCAGATTCATAAGTTCTTTTGGCTTTCCTCCTATTGACTTTATCATCTTTTATATATTTATCAACTATGATCTTACTATCTACACTATTTTGTATATCACCAGATGTAGAGGCTATTAAGTTGACAGAACATGGCTTAATAATTTCTGATACAGAATTCCCTGAATTTTCCATTTTATTAGTATTTTTATCTTCTTCTGAATGTCTGGTGAGCCAGGCCTTTTTCAGTTTAGTATGGTAGTTTGGTTGACTTGTCTGGGAAGCTTGCCCATTTCCTACAGAGTTTGCTTTGTTAATTGTACTACAGATTACAGTGCTATCCAGAGGAAGGGAGGCTGAAGATGTCTGATATTTTATAGCATTAGATTCAGTCTCACTAACATTACTACTTTTATACTGAGCTGCAGCCAGTGCTGCCTTGTGCTTTTTCAAATGGATAAAATCAGTTGTGCCTGAGAACCCAGAACTGGGCTGAACAACACTTCCTGTCTTACTACTGGCTAATATAACTGGAGCTGTGGTGCTGACCTTGCATTCTTGTGTTTGAGCCACTGGCTGACTGATACTTTTTGAAGATGTACATTCTGATGATGTAGGGGCCAAAATGGTATTTGATAGAGATGAAGTTACTTCTGAACCACCCCAGCTGGAAACACTGGTAGTAGCGGCAACAGATGTGATGACATCCGTTTTGGTATTACACATTGTATTTACAGCAGACATGACTGAACTGGGAACACTGCCCTGTGAGACAGCCTGAAAGTTTTTTTCAGATTTTGTGTGAACACTGTCTGAATTCACATTTGGCAAAATGATTCTTCCAGTTTCTCCAGCTTCTGCTGGTTTGAGGCAATCTGTTTTATGTGCCCCAGCTGAAGATCTTTCACTAACTCGATCTTTAGAAGCTAACTGCACTGCTGGCATGCTATCTGTTTTTGTACTAGAAGATGGACGCACAATGACAGATGCCATTGCAGCCTGTAACTTTCCGCTGCTTTTCTCCACATGCCATTCGGTTTTCTCTTTGCTGAGGTTATTATTAGGTTTCCACATCTCTGTCAAACTCTGTTCTGAAGAACTCTTAAAATTTGCCTGAGAGTCTTTTGGCTCGGGTATTAGAGTTGGAGGCTTCTGCGATTCTTGAACTTTCCCACCAGCATTTACTGGCATCACTGGAGTTAAAGTTGGAGGGGAAAGGCTACTATAGCTACCTTCCTTTCTTTCCAGGCTGTGATGGATTGGTGGGTGAAATACTGGTGCTCTATGTAATGCAGGCATACTGCGGAGTGTATTTGTAGAAGAAACTGTCAAATGGGTAGGACTCCTACAATCATTTCTGAAGGCTGTTACTGAGTGAGATGCAATCTGATGTGGAAGATGCTCCGGTATCTTGCCTACTAAACCTTCACTTTCTGGTTGGTGTTTAATCAAAGGTGGAGGCTTTGAAAGAGATGTTATAAATGAAGTCAGAGTTTGAGGATTAGCTGCTGCCACTGCAAGGGCATTACTCTGTTTATCACTGTAAATATTTGAAACTTCTTTGGATGGGTATGATCTTGGTGGTTCATTGACCACACTATTAGACAATGTAGTGAAATAGTTACTTTGGGGTAAACTCTGAGGCACTGAGTGCTTCATTTTATAAAGATCTGATACTGAGCGTTCTACATCTGTATCTTGTTTGATGACATGGCTTTTAGGACTGGAAGATGATGATGCCACTCTGGAATAATTCTCTCTTTCACCCTCAAGTCCCTTGATTTTAGTTGTAAAGGGAGCAACATCAATACTTTCTTGAAGAATTCGACGGTGTTCCTCTTTGTATTTGTTTAATCTCTCTCCAGTCTCCTGGGGTGGCCTCTGTAATTGATTTAATACTGGATCCACAAAATGCCTATGTAAGTGACAATCTTTTCCAGTCTGTGCCCGATTTAGATCCAGGTCATTTTTTGTTGATGTGGATGCAACAGACCGTAGTGGTTCCATAAAAGCTTTCCTTTCCAATTCTCTGTAAAGAAAATACACAAAGATTTCTGTAACCACTTTTTATTGAAAAATAAAAAGATAGCTTCTATGCAGTATCATTCTATTATGAAAGTAAAAAACAACTTTGCATGTACTCAATATTATAATACATTTGAAGAAATATCAAAACAGAAGAAAGCCTAATCTTAAGATATGTGTTAACTTAAAATTAACTGTTTAAAATGTGAATTAAGAAAAATTATGAAAAACAAGGTATTCATTATTTTTAAGCATTAGTGAACTTACTCCTTATGATGATCTGCTAAAGTTTTTGTCAATGGTGGACTGGAATGGGCTGTAATTTTAAGAGGCCGATGAGGCTCTGCACTGGAAGGTCTGACAGGAATGTGACTAAGTAATCCAATACCATCTGCTGAGGTCACAGGGGTGGGCTGATGTAGCCAAGGACTGGGAGAATTCTATTAAAAAAACAACAACAACCTAGACTTCAGTTACTAGAAAAAGCTAAACATTGTGTCACAGTAGAACTGGGTATGATCTTAATGGTTTATTAGTGGGTATGATCTCAATGGTTTATTAGTTCATTAAAATAGCAGTTTATTTGGGAAACTGTAACTTTTTCTAAATACATCTTATGAGAAATATTCAGATGAGTAACATAATTATATAGATTTTTCCATATCCTATAGAAAAGTAATCAGTATTAGAGAATAATTTATTGTCATCTTACTAAAAACAGATCTTAAAATCAGTGCCTTTAACTTACTATAAATGCCATATACAGAACCTAGCTTTTATGATTTTCTAAGATCCTAACAGCAAAAGAATATGTTGCTAATAGCAAAAAACAATTAGTACTAAAATACATTTCACAGAAATAGAAATTATAATCAAATTCATTTGTCAGTTTTTGTCATAAAAAATAATTAACTTTTCCAAAGTAACAATGCATTGACAATTGGCAGATAATTACATTTAAAAACCCAAAAGCACTCCTCATTTCACTCTAAGCTATAAACATGGTTGGACCATTAAACTTGGAGATGTAGAGGTCTAACAAAGTTAATTTTATACATCAATACGCTGCCTGTCTCATAAATGAATATAAGATGACAGCAACCTCTACACTGAGACATACAGTTAGCTGATTACATGCTTACGGATTGTTTCTATACTGTGACTCACTGACATTCTTCCAGAACATGTTTTATGAGTTTGTTAATAGGATGACAGTCAAATAGCAGGAAAATACAACCTCCTTTGTATTTTCTCTAATTTATTCCCTAACAAGGAAATACATTTTAATTCCCAAACTAATGCAAAAGCAATATATCACACAAAAAATATACTGCTATGAAATTAAAAACATACACTATAGCCATAAACCCCATACAAGAGAAAAATACATAAATATACACATACAGATCAAATATGTGTCTCAAACAGCCTCAGTTCTACAAGACCCAGAAATCATTAACAGCAATCAATTACAGCAGTGATAACATTTTGTGCTATAAAATAGCATTCAAAATTATTTCTTAATAATAGTGTCTTATGCTTGTATTGTTTCTTCACTTTTGGTAACAATAGTGGGGGGGGAGGAGATTTTTATTTTTTACTCAAAATGTTATTCAAATTTACTCCTTTATGATTTTATATAATAAATGGAAATCTGATAGGCTTGTTTTTAGGTGAACACATTTTTGACCAGTTAATAAAATATTTTATTTACTTATAAATGCAGAGGCTAGACAGTCACGGTCTAAGTCCATATAATACATGTGACATATACTGAGTAATGCTCCCTTCCAAGTCATTTTTAAGTTACTTAAATCTGTTTTCCAGAGTTTGGATGTTAAGGAAAAAGACACAAATCTGTTAGCCAGCTCTTGGCTCCCCTGTGTTCCTCTAGCTAGCCTATCTTTGTGCAGCTGCAGCTACATTAATGTCATGAGAGTGAAGGGTCAGAATAAAAATGTGAGTGCAATAATAAAAATAGAAACCTTGAATGAAAAATGTAAGCGCACTTGGGCCACCAGGCCTACTTTCTATTCTGGTAAAGAGGATAATATAGTGATCAGTGATTCTTCACTGAGTTTGAGTATGTAACGTACAGGTTCTAGTATGATTCTAATCTACCAAAAGAACAATGGAAACCTCTAAAATGGTAATGGGAAGCTTGTGATCAATGGAAGCACAATTCTGGAACTGAGATCTTGTCAACCTCAAATGTGGTGATGCTGGTGCAGAATAAACTGTGGGGATCACTGATAAGACCTCATTAAAGGCCAAGGCCTTAAGAAAGTAGAGCCAAAAGAAGTCCATATTGCAAAGGAGTAAACCACAGGAAACATTTTTCAAAATTGTTAGACATGTGTCTTGCATCATCAATCACTTGGTGCCACTTATCATCAAAGTTCATCCATCACATACATGGTTGGGCATGGTGGCTCATGCCTGTAATTCCAGCATTTTGGGAGGCCAAAGCAGGTGGATCACTTGAGGTCAGGAGTTCGAGACAAGCCTGGCCAACATGGTCAAACTCTGTCTGTACTAAAAAGACAAAAAAAACAGCTGGGTGTGGTGGTACACACCAGTAGACCCAGCTACTCAGGAGGCTGAGGCAGGAGAATCACTGGAACCCGGGAGGTGGAGGTTGTAGTGAACTGAGATCACACCACTGTACTCCAGCCTGGGCAAGAGAGCAAGACTCCATTTCAAAAAAAAAAACAAACAAAAAGTTCATCCATCACAACATGGTAATGATAGACTCATGGCCACAGTCTACCCAAAACACAATAGTTCCTCTGACAAACTTCTGGCATGATGAACATCATGCTTTTACCTACTGGCATCACTAATGTTATATGTAAAAAATATCCCTTAGTAAAAGAGAAAGTCACTAGAATTGTCTTCTAAATCACCACCCCCATCTGTGATCTCACTTAAATTCAGAAAGCCTGAGAAGGTGATATTAAAGTGTTAAAAAACACCCATGTGAGGTGGAGGTTGCAGAGAGCCAAGATCATGCCAATGCACTCCAGCCTGCATGACAGAACAAGACACTTTCTCAAAACAACACCCACGTTCACTGTAGCATTATTCACCACAGCCAAGACTTGAAAGCAAGTGTCCACTGAAAGATGAATGGATAAAGAAAATAGGGCACATACATACAGTGGAATATTATACAGCCTTAAATAAGAGGAAAATCCTGTCACATGTTGCAACATGGATGAACCTCAAGAATATTGTACTAAGCTACATAAGCCAGTAACAAAAGGATAGATATTCTGTGATTCTACTCTGAGAAAGTATCAAAGTCAGGAAAACCACAGAAACAGAAGAAAGGTGGTTGCCAAGGGCTGGAGGAGAAGGGGAATTAGCATTTAATGTCTATAGTTTCAATTTTACCAAATGAAAAAGTTCTAGAGACCTGCTGTACAACATGAACATACTTAACACTACTGAACTATACACTTAAAAATGATTAAAATGCTACATTTAATGTTATGTATGTGTGTATGTTTTAACCACAAAACAAACAAGGTGTTAAAAAGAGATTCTGGGAGATACTTGAAGAGCATCCTAGGATGCACAAAGGATAAGGTTGTTTCCTGGGAGTTCAAAAGTGATACCCATTTTTCCATTTTTTTTTTTCTTTTTTCTGAGACAGAGTCTTGCCCCATCACCCAGGCTGGAGTGCAATGGTGCGATCTTGGCTCACTGCAACCTCTGCTTCCCAGATTCAAGCATTTCTCCTGCCTCAGGCTCCCAAGCAGCTGGGACTACAGGCACATGCCACCACACCTGTCTAATTTTTTATATCTAATAGAGATAGGGTTTCGACATGATGTCCAGGCTGGTCTCAAACCCCTGATCTCGTGATCTGCCTGCCTCGGCCTCCCAAAGTGCTGGGATTACAGGCGTGAGCCACTGTGCCGGGCCCCATTTTTCCATTTTTTATATTGGGGCTGGTATTCCTTTCAACCACCATTTTTTAGTATAAAAATGAATTTGCGATAGAAACCACATAGCTCATGAAGGAGTAAGAGCCTTATGCCACTTTAGGAATACTGTGTTAGGCAGACAAAATCTCAGCTGCAGCTTTATCCCCAAATACTGGGAATCTGCAACCTTGAGCACCCTTAGAGGAACAAGGGAGTTAAAGAGTCAAACATTGTACTATGTCATTAATATACAAATATAGATCTGGAGAATATAACAATTTGTTTTTAAGAATAATTTGGCTGGGTGCAGTGGCTCACACCTGTAATCCCAGCATTTTGGAAGCCAAGGTGGAACATCTGAAGTCGGGAGTTCAGGACCAGCCTGACCAATGTGCAGAAACCCCATCTCTACTTAAAAAAAAAACAAACAAACAACAGTATTACTAGCCAGATCATCTAGTCAAACTCCATTTGACTAGATGGTGCATGCCTGTAATCCCAGCTACTCTGGAGGCTGAGGCAAGGAGAATTGCTTGAACTTGGGAGGCGGAGGTTGCGGTGAGCTATTACTCCATTGCCCTCCAACCTGGGCAACAAGAGGAAAACTCCAACTCAAAAAAAAAGAATAATTTGATAATATATACCAAAAACCATACAATTTTATATAAATTTTAGAAATTTCACTTCTGGGAATTTGGCTGAGCAAATAACTATGAAAATATACCAAAAATTTAAATCTATAATAAATAAATATTACAATCCAAAAAGTTTTACTTCTTTAAACTAAATCTTTTTCTTTTTTTTTTTTTTTTGAGACACAGTTTCACTCTTATTGCCCAAGCTGGAGTGCAATGGCACAAGCTCAGCTCACTGCAACCTCCGCCTCCCAGGTTCAAGCAATTCTCTTGCCTCAGCCTCCCAAGTTGCTGGGATTAAGGCATGCACCACCACACCCAGCTAGTTTTTTGTGTTTTTAGTAGAAATGGTATATTCATGATATTAGCCAAGCTGGTCTCGAAATCTTGACCTCAGATGCTGGGATTACAGACATGAGCCACCACTCCCAGCCTAAACAAACTCTTTATACAAATAAATATAGGCTTTTCTGAGGTTTCAGCTACCCCTCTGAGGTTACGAAGCATATGGAAAAACAACGGTTTGAAAAATTCTAATGTATTTTATAACAGAAAATGACCTAAAGAAATAGATGGAATATTGAAAAAGGACTTGTACATGCTCATTAATAAATATATATTGATATGTGGCAAACCACAGTATAACTTACCCTCCTTAATGAAGCCTCAGCATTAACTGCATTTTCTGGGTGAACCCACTTAGAAGAAGGCAAACCAAGTCCTGAGTATGCATGTGTTCCATTTGGATACTGCCAAATAATTGGATAAAGTCCAAGCTGATTATATGAAGCAGAAGGATGGGCTTGTCCAAGAAGATGAGGTGACTGGTGCTGTAACAACTGTTGTTGTTGCTGGTGTGCTAGTGCTAAGTGGCTCAAGCTGCTGGCATGAGCACTCTCTAGTCGTGGGTGGCCACCAAGTAAGGAGGCAGTAGGCACTCCAGGTAACACAGTGGGAAGTAAATGAGGGTGATGGACAGCATGGTGTGGACCACTAGTCAGAGGGTGAGTGTTAATGGTAGGTAATGGAGTTTGACTGGATGATCCGGCTAGTAAGTGGGGTGCAGGAGTTAAGGCAGGATGATGGGTACCTGGATTTAAACAGGTTCTATGAGATGAAGAGTGAAGAGGAAAAGGATGCTGGCTTAGGAAAGGTGAAATATGATTAGCTCCTGTTTCTGACCCAATAAGTGCAGGATCTCTGTAAACTGTAAAATGCTCATTTTTATCAATGATAAGAGGACTCTTTGTAGTTTCTAATGTACTGCTTCGAGTAGGAATTGGATGAAAACTGCATCTTGATAGCTCATGTTCTATCTTATTTGCCAGTCTTCTTTCACCAGTAGGTTGGTTGTTCACATAAGTGGCCTTAGACTTTACAGAATCAGGAGAATGAGTTATTTTGGGTTTAACAACTTCAGGTGAGGGACTGGATTTTATCTTGTGAGTATCTACTGAAGTATTAAGTTTAGATTTTATAGTCTCTGGAGGTGGACTTCGCTTATGCAGCTTATCTTCCATGACAGAAACTGCACTTAAAGTAGAAATATAAGAGACATACTTCTCTTTTTCCATGTTCAAGTTATCATTTCCTGAAGAAGCATTTATAACACTTGATTGGGTTAAATCCACTTTAACTACCTCACTGACCCAGCTCTGATCAGAATCTTGTTTTGTTATTTCCAAGAATTTTGCATTTGCAATAGAGTGTTTTGAATCACTAACATTAGGATCCATTTTCTGAAGTGTCTGAAGGCCAAAGGTACTTGAGTTTTCCTGAGCCACCTTTTCTAAATTAGTGTCATTTGTAATATCAATAACACATTTTGGTGTGGGTGGTCTGGATACAAACTTCTCCTTTGGTAGTAATTCCACTGTACGTGTTTTTTCCATATTACATTCCTGAGGAAGTAAATCATTAGGATTATGATCAGAAGGTGTGGACTGTTCTGATGAATGGATAATCATATCTTCTTGAAGCTGAGTGTCAACAGACTTCTGCTTCTCTGCTTCTTCATGTGTTTTATCTTCCTGTATTTGATCCCAGGGAGACTGGTTATCTTTTAGGGTCTCTTCTCCTGACTTCTCATTATTATGGGGTTTTCCTTCTTCTCCATTTATATTTGAAGTATTTTTATTTTTCAATTCATTCTCTGGCTTCTGTTCTGAGGAATTATCTATTATTCTCTTACTTGAATTTTCTGAGTCACTGCTCTCAGAAAAGTCTGAAACATTGTCAGTTCGAAGTCTTTTCATATTTAGTTTCTTTTCATCTTCCTCAGGTTTCCTTCTTTTATTCATCAAGTGTTTGTTTTTACCTTTAGGATTTTCTGTAGGATTAAAAAAAGAACGGTCTTATTTTTCATACTAAATAACCATATTCTAAAATGTATTTTTGTTTTACTTATTCCCTTAAAAAAAAAAAAAGTGGGTCCTACCTCCTCGTGATATATAATCATATTTTTCCTCCTTCATCTTCTCTTCATCTGGTATACTGCTATCTGAGCCCTTCCTCTTATGTGGACGGATACTTCTTTGTTGCTGTTGCTGGTGCGTATTCTGTTTTGGTACAGCAGCTTGTGAGTTCATTGCTGGTCTAGGACTATTTGCTTGGGCACGTGTGTAATGACTCTAAAAGTAACCAGTTAACAGTAATTGTTTACTACCTGGTTTCTACTAGCCTAAGGAAAAATATTTTACAGAAATTCATCCCTAATAACATACATACGTGAACAGCGTTGATGTTTTGATTGGCACGAGACCTGCGCCGTGATGTAATGCCAATATTTTCACCTTTTAACAAAGAGTGAACAACATCATCTAGAAAGGTCATTTGAACCATAGAAGGATCGACATTCTGTGGTTCTAGTACCTAATCCACAATACAAAACAAAAACAAAAATTAAATCGAATGAGCTTATCAAATATTTGGTATAATTTTCTTTTTTTTTGCCTTTTTTTGGTATAATTTTTTTTTACTCAGCAGAAATGTTTAGAAATCAGCTTGTTATCCCTAATTAATAAGATTGTTATAATTTACTATAATCACTTAAGACAAAATTACCTTTTTAACCTTCTGAAACTCACCATTTCAACTACTAACCAAGAATTAAAAAGCAAATATATACACTGCAAGATGCATCTTGAAAAACAAGGATAAGAATTAATCAAGAATATAGATGCCAACAGACAATATTAGTACAAAACAAGACATAGATGCCAAGATATGAAATGTATTTAAAAAATAGGAAGTAATTTTCAAAAAGCAGTCGTAAAATAAAAGTCAGAGGTAGACTTTAGGGAGAAGAAAAAGACTAAAATTGTGCAAGTGAATAATTTTGAAAATGTGATTAAAGAAAACTATTTTAACAATCCAAGGCACTTTTGTACTTTTTTGAGAGGTAAAAGTTTGTCACTGTTTTTACTGGGAAAAAAAAAAAAAAGTAATTAAATAATAATACTTATTTGGCATTTTAATCAAAGTATTGAATTATTTCTAAAGAAACTCTAGAGACTTCCTCCACAATCCAATCAGGCAGGAAGGTATAAATACCTACTTTTTTCTATATAAGCATTAGCTTTAAAAGTGAACATTTTTTGCATTAAGTAAAAAAGAAAAAAATATGAAATCTCAAGGCTTTCAGACTGGTAGTTAAAACTCCACAGGAAAGCCAGGCCCAGTGGCTCACGCCTGCATTCCCAGCACTTTGGGAGGCCGAGGCGGGTGAGTCACGAGGTCAGGAGTTTAAGAACAGCCTCGCCAAGATGGTGAAACCCCATCTCTAATAAAAATACAAAAATTTGTAGGACGTGGTGGCAGATGCCTGTAATCCCAGCTACTTAGGAGGTGGAGGTTGCAGTGAGCTGAGACAGTGCCATTGCACTCCAGCCAGACGACAGAGCAAGACTACATAAAAAATAACTCCATATGAAACTTGTAATACTTAAGATTAACCATAAAACTTAATTGAGCATACCAACATTGACATCTGATGTGAGAAGAACTGTAGTGTGTGTTTAAGTTTTCACTGATGAAAATAAACCATTTGGGAAGTATTTTTAATACTGTAGAGACAGAGAAACTGAAACCCTGAGAAAGAAAATTACAGCTGATCAAAGGATTTTAAAAAGACCAATCAATTAAAAGAGTTTGATGCCTCTATTTTAGGAACTGATTTTATCAGTGTTGAAATAAATTTAGCATCACTGTCTCCCTATGATCTGAAATGACCTCTATGTAATATCAGATACATTTAAACTTACTAGAATTACATGACTAAAAACCCCAGAGAACAAACTTATTTAGTATCAAACAGTTAATTTATTTTGGGAGGCATGGACTATTTGAACTTTTTAAATCTCTACAAAAATATTCATTGAGCTATTTACCTGATCATTCATAACGATCATGGTGCGGGTGAAGAGATCATGATGAGTAATTATGCCAGTAAACCACTGGGTGGCAGAGTCTTGTCTATATACTCTCACTCTGTATCCATTTAAGGAATAAGGACCTTTAAAGAAACACAAGAAATAGAAATATCTTAAATGGAGACATTTTCATTTAATAACTCCCTTTTAGAAGAAACATGATGTGTATAATAAGTAATATATCCAACTGTCAGTTTTCAAAAAAAAGTTTTAGAAGTAAATAAATATTCTTTCAAATGAATCATTCTGATGTTACTGTATATACTGCACTAGACTTACATACTTCCTCATTCAATAGAAATAAAATACTTCAAGAGGGAATGAAGGTTTTTAGGATCATGAGTTAATAAGAGAACAGTTCAAAATGCAAAGTTACAGTGGTGTAGAATGTAGTAAGGTTACAAAGCTACTTAGTTACGACTGCAGTAGATGACTGTGGTTGAAATAGAAAAGTTAACTTGCAACTTGATGTTTGAGTCTTCTAGTTGTCAAAACTTTACCATAAACAACTACAAACGACAAATTTTGATTTGCCTGTAACAGCTAGGAAAAGCTGCTGAGAGTCTTTAAAAAAGAGATTGGCTACAAAAACAGACTAATACAAAAAATAAACAAATAAAAAAAATATTGGCTAAGTGAATTTATACACATAGCACTAAAAATTTTTAAAGAAATATGGTACCCTTTTGTGTTAAACTCGCTTTTTCTTTCTTTTTTTGAGACGGAGTTTCGCTCTTATTGCCCAGGCTGGAATGCAATGGTGTGATCCTGGCTCACCACAACCTCCACCTCCCAGGTTCAAATGATTCTCCTGCCTCAGCCTCCTGAGTAGCTGGGATTACAGGCATATGCCACCATGCCTAGCTAATTCTTTTTTTGTATTTTTAGTAGACAAAAGGTTTCACCACGTTGGCCAGGATGGTCGTGAACTCCTGACCTTGTGATCCACCCACCCCAGCCTCCCAAAGTGCTGGGATTACAGGCCTGAGCCACCACATCTGGCTAAACTCACCTTTTCAAAGAATATTCTTGTATAGATATCCACTACAAAATAAGGTAAAAAGTATTAAAGAGGGCTGGGCGCGGTGGCTCATGCCTGTAATCCCAGCACTTTGGGAGGCTGAGGTGGGTGGATCACGAGGTCAAGAGATCGAGACCATCCTGGTCAACATGGGGAAACCCCGTCTCTACTAAAAATACAAAAAATTAGCTGGGCATGGTGGCACGTGCCTGTAATCCCAGCTACTCAGGAGGCTGAGGCAGGAGAACTACCTGAACCCAGGAGGTGGAGGTTGCAGTGAGCCGAGATCGCGCCTTTGCACTCCAGCCTGGGTAACAAGAGCAAAACTCCATCTAAAAAAAAAAAGTATTAAAGATATTTATCTGTAGATATTCATATATGCCTAAAACAAGTTACTTGGCTGGGCGCAGTGGCTCACACCTATAATCCGAGCACTTTGGGAGGCAAGGCAGGTGGATCATGAGGTTAGGAGATTGAGACCATCCTGGCCAACATGGTGAAATCCCATCTCTACTACAATACAAAAAATTAGCTGGGCTTGGTGGTGCGTGCCTGTAGTCCCAGCTACTTGGGAGGCTGAGGAGGGGTGGAGACTGCAGTGAGCCAAAAATCACACCACTGCACTCCCACCTAGTTACAGACCAAGACTCTGTCTCCAAAAAAAAAAGGCACTTTACAGAAGAGGATAGTGTGATAAAAATAATCTTTAATTCACAGGTATTAAAATGGTATCAAATACTTTAAAGTTTAACAAAGAACTGTAAGGTAAAAAAACTGCTGTACCTTAATAATTTACAAAGAAATTGCTTTCAAAATTTTCAAGTGCTTATTTAATTCTCTCTCTTACGTATTGTTAGCCCTTTTACAAAAATCGAGAAAGTAGAGGCTGACTTAAAATTGGGCGAAATTTTAAGTCAAAGATCTGGGACTGAATTTATTTTTCTGATGTTCTTTCTTCTAGAGTTGTAACAGATTCAACAATTAATAGTTTGCCAGTTTTAAGTATATATAAATCAATGAACTGTAGAAAGTATTCCATATGACCTGTAAATTAAATATATTCATCTAGAGAAAAGTGAAGATGTTAACTGGCTATAATTTAAGGGAGGTTGGGGGGTAAACACTATTTTGTAGCCATATCAATCATGTAAACTCCAGTCTTTTTTAACTGTGGAAGAATAAGACTCCATATTATTTTTTCTAAATAATATAGAACACACTTATAGAGTAACTCCAAATATGATCAGTTTTTCAATTCCCATTAACAAACAGTTTACACTGGTTTGTTCTCACTACTTAACACAGTTTAAAGTCAGCCATACACAATTCTGCATAGGATGAATAGGGACTATATTGCCCCTTAATCTTTTCTCCTCTAAGGATACAATGAAGAATCAAAGTATTATTTTTTAAAAACTCACCTGGTTTCTTCAACAAATAAATTGCAAGGAAAGGGAAAAAAAAGAGCAACAACAGGGATGTACCAAATAATCACAATGTGTGGACCTTTTCTGAATCCCTTGATTTTTAAAAATAAATAAAACCTGTTAAAATCTTTGACATTTACAAGACAAATGAAAACATGAACAATCAAGTATTTTTACTTTAAAAACTTTTTTTTTTTTTTTTTTCCAGAATAATGTACCAGCATTGTTTTGTTTTAAAAAATGGATAGAGGCTGGGCGCGGTGGTTCACACCTGTAATCCTAGCACTTTGGGAGGCAGAGGTGGGTGGATCACCTGAGGTCAGGAGTTCAAGACCAGCCTGGCCATCATGGTGAAATCCCATCTTAAAAAAAAAAGAATGGATAGAATAGAGTGATGCCTGAAATTTGATGGAAGGGGTTAATGGATGGTGCAGGATCAGCCACGATTAGATAGTTGTTGGGGCTGGGAGACAGGTGAATGCAAATTCACTGAAATATTTTATTTTTGTGTGTGTTTGAAATTCTCCATAGAAAAGTTTAAAGAATTTTTAGCCTAGGAAGAACTAAATATGTAGATGATCCACTACTGTACATATCGATATAAAGCAAACAGCTTTGAGATTATCTGTTGATGCTTAACGGCATGGAAGTTGAGAGTTGAGATAAATATGGAAATTTAACCAAAAAATTCCATTCACAAAAACATTTGACAACAAACAATTCATGCCATATTGTCTCACTTTCCATTCAATTTTACAAAAGGCTTGTATTTACAATACATGATTTTACTGTCAGAAATGGAAATTGCTAAAAATTATCAAACCCCTGGTTTGAAGGTTACACGTTGTAACATACTAAACACAGAAAACAGGCAGACTAGTAAATTTCTGAAAAAGGTGCACTGAAATAGGCCACTTTTATCAGACATGAAGAACATTCTTCAAAGGAAATCAATTGCGGCTGTGGGCAATGCTCTACTGCAAACAATGCTTCCTTCTCCAGTGAAGACACACCTAAAGAATTCCATAATACCCAGTTTTCTGTCAACAAAACACCCATGTGGCTATAATTTCAAGACAGGTTATAAATTTCAAATTTATAACTTATTTAGCTCAAATAAGTTATAAACTCATGAAATTATCAACTTTCTATCAAAATTATTATGACTCTTTTTATTTTCCTGGATGTATGTAACTCAAAATATTGGACTCAGCCTTCTATTTATATTGCGTACAATTGAACAACCAAAGACAAATATGGTAAGTTGCCTAGATCCAAAAAAATTTAATGCATAACTTCAAAATAATTACCTTGCATAAAAATCTCCTGAACCTTTTGTTCCTTTACCCAGACTTTCACTTCCTCGTGAAGTTGCGGGTTGTCCCTGAGAACTGGGTTTAGGCTGTCTATGTCGTCCTAGAATTATAGATTAAAAGAAAGGTCCATGTTACGCTCTCCTACTATTAATGTTACCAACTTTCCCTCCTGTATGTTGTTCTAAGGACTGAAGAAAATTCCTCCGATCTAAATGTATGCAAAAACACCAATTCCTAAATTACAGTTCAGTGGCAACTGTGTAACAAAAGAGGGTAAGAAATTAATCTGTGATAAAATTTGACCCCTGATAACAATGTCCTAAAGTCAAAGTCTGAAATTAATGTGTTTTCTAATTTTTAAAGTATAGCCTTCTTCAAAGTCATCTTTTTAAGGAATCACTATTAGAAGCAATATACAAATCATCAAATCACATCAGATTGTTTAAGGGTAATGACAAAAGAACTGCAGTGAAAATTTTAGTGACAATCAAATATACACAGATGACTTACTGGCCTTCCTGTAATACCTAACCACTAGAGTTTGAAACTACTTTTATTCTGTCCTGATTTAAATGTCATCAAATTCAGTTCTACTCAGAGTCATCTGACCAATAACTTCACTGCTAAAAATTTTGTTTCTTGAAACTAGTGCCAAAATATCCAGACAATTAAAATTACATTATTAATGGTATTACCCTTATTATCACAGTGGATCTAGACATAGAAACAACCGATTCTCTCATTGGAGATGTGAATCACACAGTTACAGGATTTCCCACAATTTGCTGGTCTCCCACTGGACTCTGACATACTGTTCTCTCAGTGTCTCCCTCTCTCTCTCTCTCTCAAAGGACTTCTGCTGCTCCTGCACTTGAGATTAGCTGCAGGAACACTAGAGTAGCTGGAAAGAACAAAGCAGCACTGTCAAATGGCAGCTATTTTAAAAATGAACAGGCAGATCACAGAAACCAGTAAATAGAAAGGAGCTAAATGAAGGGAACGGTATCTGACAAATAATAACATTTTGGCAAGTTCAAAAAGCAAAATGGTGGCTGAAGTGTAAAAAATAAAAATAAAAAAGCCCTAATCAAGTGGGTCACACTTCACTCTTCTCCAATGTCTATCCAGGTAAAGTGTTTCCTTCTCATACTGCTTTTAAGGCACTATTCCGAATTTTTAGAATAATATTGTGGTAAATATTCTATCTGATATGCATTTAAACATAGTGAAAAACTAACAGGCCAAAGTAAGGGCCTTTAAACTTATTAACTATGTTCCTTGGAAAATATATAAATAAAAGTATTGCTTTATACCAGAAGAAAATACTAGAATGAAAAAATGTCACATAAGGAAGTAGGCAAAATCTGTCAGTTGGGAGAAAAAAATGGGCATTAACATGTCTGTCTTTACTTTGCAAAGAAACTTTCTGGCAATCTCATTTCTCTGCCCCCTCCACCCTCCAGTAATATATTGCACACTTAATCTCATGTTTTTAAGAATTTTTTAAAAATCATAGGAAGTCCTATCAGACTCTAACCCTCTTACTGCACACCAGCTGACAGTATAGTCTGTAACAAACAGAACATAGGAAACTTTTTTTTTTTTTAACGGAGTCTTGCTGCCCAGGCTGGAATGCAATGGCGTGTTCTCAGCTCACTGCAACCTCCCTCTCTCAGGTTCAACCAAGTCTCCTGTCTCAGCCTCCTTAGTAGCTGGGATTATAGGTGCATGCCACCACGACCAGCTAATTTTTATATTTTTATTGGGCAAGCTGGTCTCAAACTCCTGACCTCAGGTGATTTGCCTGCCTTGGCCTCCCAAAGTGCTAGAATTACAGACGTGAGTCACCACGCCTGGCCCACAGAAAACTGTTTTATAAGGAACACCATTACTGTTTTCAGACATCTCTGACAGCAAGTTCCTTTAAAATTTTTCCCACTTCAAAATTTCCATCCATACCTACCTATATCCTTTTCCCATAATACAGGGAGTTATAAAGTGTTTGTTTGTTTGTTTGTTTGTTTTTTGGAGACGCATTCTCACTCTCGCCCAACCCGAAGTGTACTGGCATGATCTTGGCTCATTGCAACCTTCGCCTCCCAGGTTCAAGCGATTCTCTTGCCTCAGCCTCCGAGTAGCTGGAATCACAGGTGCACACCACCACACCCAGCTAATTTTTGTATTTTTAGTAGAGACAGGGTTTCACCACGTTGACCAGGTTGATCTCAAACTCCTCAACTCAAGCAATCTGCCCACTTTGGCCTCCCCAAAGTGTTGAGATTACAGGCATGAGCCAGTGCACCCAGCTGTAAACTGTTTTAAAGAAGCATTGCCAACACCTTGCAGGCAAGTATGGTTTATAAAACCAGTTGCCTATCTTGAAATTTTACAACTTATAATCTAGTTCTTCAACATTTATTTCATTTTATTTATTTATTTATTTTGAGACGGAGTTTCGCTTTTGTTACCCAGGCTAAAAAGTGCAATGGCGCGATCTCGGCTCACTGCAACCTCTGCCTCCTGGGTTCAGGCAATTCTCCTGCCTCAGCCCCTGAGTAGCTGGGATTACAAGCATGTGCCACTGTGCCCAACTAATTTTTGTATTTTTAGTAGAGACAGGGTTTCACCATGTTGACCAGGATGGTCTCAATCTCTTGACCTCGTGATCCACCCACCTCGGCCTCCCAAAGTGCTGGGATTACAGGCTTGAGCCACCACGCCCGGCCCTTCAACATTTATTTTTAAATATTTTTTCAACAGGTTAAAATAATGGGCTGTGTTTCCAAGATCATTAAACAAAATACAAATATCTTCCCAACAATAAACCATTAATTTTCTAGTGGAAATAGCACACCATTAAAAACTGTTAATTTGATTCCCTTTACTGACATGACCTTATATAAGTTCAAATTCTCGTCTCTCAATCTCCTCATCTATAAAGCAAAGTTACTAGTATTTGCCTTTTTCTCTATCTTAATAAATGTTTTAATAAGAATTTTTCTTATGTACAAAAGTAAGCTTTCTTAAAACATCTAATTCTGAAATTAACCCAATGTACTGCCTGATTTATGACAGGAATTGTTGTTGCTGAAGTCCTTCCTCCCTGTCCTCTACATATAGTACTTTGTAAGTTACATCCATTTCTATTACATCATCATTCTCATTTTAAAGAGAACTGTTAGCCAGGTGCAGTGGCTCACGCTTATAATCCCAGCACTTCGGGAGCCTAAGGTGGGCAATTCACCTGAGGTCAGGAGCTCAAGACCAGCCTGACCAACATGGAGAAACCTGGCCTCTATTAAAAATACAAAATTAGCCGGGTGTGGTTGTGGGCTCCAGGCATTTGGTTTCTCACTCTCTTAAGAATGGGAGAGGGCAGTGGCTGAAGCCTGTAATCCCAGCACTTTGGGAGGCTGAGGCAGGTGGATCATGAGGTCAAGAGATTGAGACCATCCTGGTCAACATGGTGAAACCCTGTCTCTACTAAAAATACAAAAAATTAGCTGGGCATGGTGGCGTGTGCCTGTAATCCCAGCTACTCAGGAGGCTGAGGCAGGAGAACTGCCTGAACCCAGGAGGCGGAGGTTGCGGTGAGCCGAGATCGCGCCATTGCACTCCAGCCTGGGTAACAAGAGCGAAACTCTGTCTCAAAAAAGAAAAAAAGAAAAAAAAAAGAATGGGAGAGGGGACCCTGGCGGGTGCACTCGTAAACTAAATGCTGGACCCAAAAAGTTTTTGTAGAAAAGTGATTTATTTAGGTACAGAAAGAGAAAAAGGAGGAGAGAGAAAGCCTCCAAGAATAGTGTGTAGTACGGGATCCCAGAGGGAAAATACGCCCGGATGAGGGAGACAGGGACTTTTAACCTGGGAGTAATTCCCACCTTCTCCAAGCCCCCTGGCCAATGAAAAGAGTTCTTTTAAACTTCTGCTGGAGTGACTGACTTTTGATCTTTCCCGATGCCGGTGAAAATTAAAACAAAGACTGTTAAGCCTCCTGGACAGAAGGGAGGGGAGGGGGGCACTGGGAAGTTCTTGCCCTTGAAACTACGACCCCTTGTGGACCCGGAAAGAAGATACATTCCGTTATGGTGGCACATGCCCGTAATCTCAGCTACTCAGGAGGCTGAGGCAGGAGAATCTCTTGAACCCGGCAGGAGGAGGTTGTGGTGAGCCAAGACTGCGCCACTGCACTCCAGACTGGGCATTTGAATAACCTCCAGCAAATGACAAATGAAAAAAAAAACCGGTTCACTAAGATCTGCTTTATTAGAAACATACAGAGAACATACATAAAGTTTAAAAAACTGAAATGAGGTTTGAGACTATACTGTTCACTTATGTGTTATTCCTACTTTTGCAAAGACAGACATAAACTCTAATTGAATATTAGTGGGACACTTCAATGTACTGATAAACAAAAATAGCTAACATAAGGCTGGGCACAGTGGCTACACCTGTAATTCAGCACTTTGTTTGGGAGGTCAAGGCAGGTGGATCACCTGAGGGCTCGAGACCAGCCTGGCCAACATGGGGAAACCTCATCTCTACTAAAAGTACAAAAATTAGCTGGGCGGAGTGGTACCCGCTGAGGCAGGAGAATCGCATGAACCCAGAAGGTGGAGGATGCAGTGAGTAGAGATAGGGCCACTGCACTCTAGCCTGGGCAACAAGAGTGAGACTCCATTTCAAAAAAAATAAATAAATAAGAATAATACTACTAAAAAAAAGCTAAGGTAATTGTCCATTTACTATGGCAGACACTGTGCTGGGTGCTTTCCAAATTTTTGTAACAACTTTGTGAGCTGAAATACATCCTATGCTCAGAAAGGCCATGGTTACTAGCAGGAAGTGATAGATCTGGTATCTGAATCTAGTTCTGTGACTCCATAGCTCAGGTTCTTCTCCACCCCGCACACATACACATTCATGCTCTCTCATTAGCACAATAAAAAAAAAAAAACGAAAGTTTATTATCTTTGCCTTTTAAAATTTGACACATTTCTTTCTATGTAAGGGGTAAAAGGCAACATTACCTTGAGTGAGGCTGACTCAAAAGCAAAGAACTGAAAGACCATAGGTGGAAGATAACTTTCTATAAAT